GGGGGCTCGCCTCCCGGTTCCGCTGGTTCCGGCTGACCCGCTTTGCCTGCAGTGCGCCCCGGGCTACGGAGGACAGAACTGCTCAGAGGAGCCCGACGCCTGTGGATCCCAGCCCTGTCACAACCAGGGCACCTGCACGCCCACCCCCGGAGGCTTCCGCTGCGCCTGCCCCCCGGGCTTCGTGGGGCTGCGCTGCGAGGGGGACGTGGACGAGTGTCTGGACCAGCCCTGCCACCCGAGTGGCACTGCGGCCTGCCACCCTCTGGCCAACGCCTTCCTCTGCCAGTGTCGGCCCGGGCACACGGGTGAGGCGGGGCGGGGCACAGCTGAGCTGGCCATGGAAACCCAGAGAATCCCTCCCACAGGCAGCTAGTCACCTTGTCCCCAGAGAATATGGCCAGGGCCTGTGCCTGTGCAGCTAGCTGGGCCGACTCCCAGGAATGAGAGAAAGGAGGCAGTGACATCTGGTGCCCCCCTCCCGCCCCCGCAGGCCAGCGGTGTGAAGAGGAGATAGACCCCTGCCAGAGCCAGCCCTGCTCCCACGGGGGGTCTTGTGAGGCCACAGCAGGACCACCCCCGGGTTTCACCTGCCGCTGCCCCCCGGTGAGTGAGCGCCGAGCCGGTTGCCCCAGCACCGACAGGGCGAAGCCTGAGGGGGGGGGGGGCAGCCTGGGCTCTGCAGTGGGACGGCTGGGGAAGCCCGCGCCTGCTCACAGAAGTGGCTGGTGGGGGCAGATCAGGTGGTAGCACCAATGCATAAGGGAAGGACCCCAAAATCAAGCTGGGCGACTTTGGGTAAGTGCTCAGTTCTTTTACCTGTGCGTGTGCGCGTGCGCACACTATGGGCCCAATGCACAAAACTGGTTCATGATACACTAACACCATTCATCGGTTTGTGCGTGGCCTTCTACATATTTTATTCTTACAGTATAGCATCCATGAACCTAATCCAATGGCAACGTTAGTAACTTGCAGGTACTTATGTCCTCCTCTGTCCTGCCCCCCCTCCAGAGGAAGAGGGCGTGTATAACCCCATCCCCAAGGATTAGGACAGGAGTTCAGTTAACACCTCTCTAGTCTGCCGGGCCTTGCACTTCGATGCTACAGTCCACGCAGCTGGCTGCAGAGCTGTGCTTCCTCCGCCATCACCACCATGTGCTGTCCTTGTGTGAAAAAGCATGGGACTTGTTTGAAACATCTATAAAATGATCAACTTGTTCTCTGAGGCCCTTTCCAGGTGGACACGCTAGGACCCTCCGAGTTATCCAGGAGCGTCTTGAGAGGAAGTGGGGAGAATTACACAAGGTCCCTTACTCTCTCTCCTCCTCTCTGCAGGGTTTTGAAGGGCCCACCTGCAGCCAGAGAGCCCCCTCCTGTGGCCCCCATCACTGCCACCACGGTGGGCTGTGTCTGCCCTCCCCCAAGCCTGGCTTCCCACCCCACTGTGCCTGCCTCAAGGGCTACGGGGGCCCCGACTGCCTGACCCCGGCCGTTCCAGGCTGCGGCCCTCCGTCTCCTTGTCTCCACAACGGCAGCTGCTCGGAGACCTCCACGCCGGGGGGCCCAGGCTTCCGGTGCTCCTGCCCCCCCAGCTCCGCAGGGCCCAGGTGCCAGAGCCCCCGAGCAGAGGGGTGTGAGGGCAGAGGGGGCGACGGGGCCTGTGACGCTGGCTGCAGCGGCCCGGGAGGGAACTGGGATGGAGGAGACTGCTCGCTGGGGGTCCTGGACCCCTGGAAGGGCTGCCCCTCCCACTCCGGCTGCTGGCTTCTCTTCCACGACGGGCAGTGCCACCCGCAGTGTGCCTCTGCAGAGTGCCTGTTTGACGGCTATGACTGTGAGACGCCTCCAGCCTGCACGTGAGTTGGGGTGAAGGGCCACAGCTGCCTCTCAGTTATAGTGTCACCCAGCCTCACGCTCCAGGTGTTGCCACCCTCATCACTGTCAGCACTGCCACGTGGGGGTGGAAGGGCAGGCTCCACCCAGGGGTGGGCAGCATCAGGTTAGCAGGGCGGGAAAGCCACTGGAGCACCACCTCCGCCCCAGCTGCTGCCTGGAGACTCCCGCGCCCCGGGCCCTCCTCCAGGGACGGGGGAGCTTGGGGGCAGGGAGAAGGGACTGTCCTAGGTCACAACATTGGGTGTCTGGGCTGCCTACCACCCAGGGCCTGCCTAAGCCCATTCTCTGGAGCTGCCCCGTTAGCCAGGGCCCCGGAGCTGCAGACCAGGAATCCCCTCTGGGATAAAGGGGGGAGTCCTGAGCCCCCTCTCCTCGCCCCCCAGTCCAGCCTATGAGCAGTTCTGCGGCGATCACTTCCACAACGGGCACTGTGAGAAAGGCTGCGACACCCCGGAGTGTGGCTGGGATGGAGGCGACTGCAGGCCCGGAAATGGGGGCTCGGAGTGGGGGCCCTCCCTGGCCCTGCTGGTGGTGCTTAGCCCCCCAGCCCTGGACCGGCAGCTGCTTGCCCTGGCCCGGGCACTGTCCCTGGCCCTGAGGGTGGGGCTCTGGGTGAGGAAGGACAGTGATGGCAGGGACATGGTGTACCCCTATCCTGGGGCCCGGGCCGAAGAGGAGCTGGGAGGGATTCCAGACCCCTCTCATCGAGCAGCAGCCCCTCAAACACAGCCTGTGGGCAAGGAGACCGATGCCCTCAGCACAGGGTAAGGCTGGGCGAGGGGTGAGGGCAGGGAGCCAGGGACCGACAAGGGTCCCTGAGGTGCCTCGCCCGCAGGTTTGTGGTGGTGATGGGCGTGGACTTGTCCCGCTGTGGCCCTGACCGCCCTGCCTCCCGCTGTCCCTGGGACCCTGGCTTCCTGCTGCGCTTCCTGGCCGCCATGGCTGCAGTGGAGGCCCTGGAGCCCCTGCTGCCGGGCCCCCTGCTGGCTGCCCACCCCCGTGCAGGCACCGGTAGGTGACCCCATCATTTCCCGGCCTTGCTCCCCGCCAGCTTCCACGCCGCACAGAGGTCAATGAGACAGGGGCCTGGGACCCAAAAGCTCTTTGGGGGACTTACCCTGTTACCCTCTTTCTCTAACTGGGATCTCCCCAGGGCCCCTTCGCTCTAATCTCCTCCCTTATCTTCCCAAGGACTGTCCTAGCCGCCCTCAGGGCTTCCATCCTCCCTGCTAGGCCAGGGCACCATCACTCCTGGGTCAGAGTGCAGAGCTCATGAGAGTAAGAACTCCCGTCGCACACGCCACGTGCCTGGCTGTGCTCTAAGCGCTTTACAGAACCAGCTCCTTTTATTCTCCCAACAACCCCACGGAGGCGGGTGCTATGTTACTCCCATTTTTCGGATGAGGAAACTGAGGCCCACAGGTCTTCCAGCCGCACCTGGAACGGCCTCCTCCTGTCTCTCCCACCAGAGCCCCCCGCCAACCAGCTCCCCTGGCCTGTGCTGTGCTCGCCAGTGGCCGGGGTGCTTCTCCTGGCTCTTGGGGCTCTTCTCATCCTTCAGCTCATCCGGCGGAGGCGCCGAGAGCACGGGGCCCTCTGGCTGCCCCCCGGGTTCACGCGAAGGCCTCGGCCTCGGCCGGCTCCCCGCCGCCGGCCCCCACTGGGCGAGGACAGCATCGGCCTCAAGTGAGAATGCGGAGGGTCTGGGCCCAGGGAGGGGGCTCTGCCTGTGCGGACATTTATGATCAGACGATGGAAGGGGTGGGGGGAAGACGCTGCAAACCTTGTGACCCTGAAGGTCCTCCACCCACCACCCTCTCCCAGGACCCTGACGCCAGAGGCCCACGCTGAGGAGGACGGAGTGGCGATGTGCTCAGGCCCCGAGGAAGGAGAGGAGGTAGGCCAGTGAAAGCACCGAGGCAGGCAGGTCCCGAGGCGATGGAAGGGGAAGGGACAAGCCAACCTTCCTTCCGGTGGTTTTTCTGACCCCAAGGCTGAAGACATGGCCTCCCCCTCCAAGTGCCAGCTCTGGCCTCTGAGTGGTGACTGTCGAGAGCTCCCCCAGGCGGCCCTGCTGACTCCTCCCCAGGAAGCGGAGATGGACATCCCGGACGTGGACCCCCATGGGCCTGGTACTCAAGCCAACCCCGCCCGGGGAAATCCCTCTGACCCTTAGAATCAGAAAGTTCTTTGCTATCAGCCCTGAAGCCGCAAATGTTAGAATCACTGCCTCCACAGAGTGGCCTGGGGCAGAATCAGGCGCTCGGGGAAATGGGGAGATACAGATTCTTGGGCTCCAGAGCTCCTGATTCAGATCCTCAAGCTATTGGGGATCAGTTTGAACAAGCCCTCCGGGTGAGTGTAATCCAGACTCAAGTTTGAGGACCACTGCCCGAGAAGGTTAGATAGGCCTGCCGGCTGGCTCCCTGAGCAGAAGGAAACTGAGGCCCGGAGAAAAATAGAGGTCACTTGACTCAAAGCCGCACAAAATCAAGAGCCAGAGCTGGGCTTCCTGACACCTCAGGGCTGTGATTCTCCCTGGCTTCCGGGCCCGTCCTGTGTCCTTTTGATCAACTTGTTTCCATTCCTTTTCTCCCACCCGCAGAGGGGGTGACACCCCTGATGTCAGCAGTCTGCTGCGGGGCAGTGGCGTACAGGGCTTCCCTGGAAAGCTCGGAGCCCTGGGAGCCTGTGTTCGCCGGAGGGGCCTGGCCCCAGGCTCACACCGTGGGCACTGGGGAGACCCCCCTGCACCTGGCTGCCCGGTTCTCCCGACCCACGGCTGCACGCCGCCTCCTGGAGTCTGGAGCCAACCCCAACCAGCCAGACAGAGCGGGGCGCACCCCGCTCCACACCGCTGTGGCAGCCGACGCCCGGGAGGTCTGCCAGGTCAGTGCGCATGGGGTCCCTCAGAGAACTGGGAGCAAATGTGGAAGCGAAGCTGGGCCAAAGCACCCTCTAGTCCTCCTTCCGCGGCCTAACATCTAGGGTTTGGCAAAGAGTAAGGTGATGTGGGCCTGGGACCTGGAAGGGAAAGAGAACAGATGGCTGAATATGGATGGGGAGGTGGGTAAGTGTGATGGCCTGAGCCAGCAGCCCAGAGCATACCCGCTCTCTGCCCCCCCAGCTCCTACTCCGCAATAGACAGACAGAGGTGGATGCCAGGACAGTGGATGGCACCACGGCCCTGATGCTGGCCGCCAAGCTGGCAGTGGAGGACCTGGTTGAAGAACTGATTGCAGCCCAAGCAGATGTGGGGGCCAGAGATAAATGGGGTATGGAGGTTGTGCTGGGGATGAGAAGTTGAGCAGTTGGGATGTGAGGTAAAAATGAAAACCAGTGGGGAGGCGGCGGCAGAGGAACTGCAGGCTGGGGTTCCCTGGCGGCCTCCAGGGTGGAAGTTCGCGGGCGTTGGCCGGATGGAGCACGGGTCCTCCCCCATCCTCAACAACGCGCATGCCCCAGCCCACAGTCAGCTGGATGGGGAGGGGTGTCGGTGGGAAGGTGGAGGTGCCTCCGGGTCCCACCGACCCCAGAACAATGCCCCATTGTCCCTTCCGCGCGCCGGTGACGTCACCCGGGCAGTACTTCCTGCCCGCCGCCGTCACCCGGGCAACGCTTCCGCCTTAGAGGGACCCAGACTGGACGGGCCAGAATAACCCTCCCCCCAAGGCCGGGATCCCTGGGAAACGGGAACCCCGCGGCCCCAGGGTGACAGCCTCCCTCGTGGTCCCCAGGAAAAACCGCTCTGCACTGGGCCGCCGCTGTCAACAACGCGCGGGCCGCCCGCTGCCTTCTCCAGGCCGGAGCCGATAAGGACGCCCAGGATGGCAGGGTTAGGCCGGGCAGAGGGCTCCCCACACAAAAAGGGGTGCGGAGAGGTGGGGAGAGCGGGAACTCCCAAAGCCGGGGGGGTGGGGGGGGCCTGGCAGGTGAAGTCCCGAAGGGCCAGTCCCGGTGCGGCCTTCCCTGACCTCGCCTCCGGCTTCCTCCCCCGCAGGGGCAGACGCCGCTGTTCCTGGCGGCCCGCGAAGGCGCGGCGGAGGCGGCCCGGCTGCTGCTGGGGCTGGGGGCGGCGCGAGCGCTGCGCGACCAGGCGGGCCTGGCGCCCGCCGACGTGGCCCGGCAGCGCCACCACTGGGACCTGCTGGCGCTACTGCAGGGGGCGGGGCCCGCGCACGCGCGCCCCCGGGCGCCGCCGGGCCCTGCGGGCGCCTTCGCGCGTGCGCGCGCCGCCTCCGGAAGCGGCCGACGGGGCGGGGCCGTGCGGCGCCACCGGACGCTGTCGGTGGGAGCCGCCCCGCGTGGGCGCGGAGCCGGCCTGCAAACCCGCACTTTGTCCGTGGACTTGGCCGCGCCCGGGGGCGGGGCCCACTCGCAGTGCCGAAGCCTAGCGAAAGCAGCTGGAGGAGGCCCGCCCCGCCGCGACCCCACGTTCCCCGCAGGCTCGCGTGGGCCGAGGCCCGGCCCCGCCGCCGTGCCGGGAAGGCCCGGGGTCGCGACCTCCGCGGGCGGGCCGTGTGGCTGGGTGTCCCTGGGAGCCTGCGGCCGCGCCCCCAGCACTCGGAGCCCGCCTCCTTGCCTGACTCCGTCCCCGGAGTGCGGGTCTCCTAGCGTAGCCTGGGGCTCCCCAGTCCACCCAGTAATACCCCCAAATGCACTAAGCGAACCTCAAAAATAGAAGGCTAATGGCAGGGTGGGATTCCAAAAATGAGCACCCGTTACATGCCCGCCTGGGAGACCTTTAATTTTAAAGTTCTCGAGCCCCAAAAGCAGGGGATGGGAATACAGCGTCCCTCCCAAAATGAGTGTGTGCCCACTCACAACGTCTTCCACGGGGAGATGAAGCCCTGGAAAGGGTTTAGGTGCTGAGGTGAAGTGGGCCCAGGAAGTGAGGGTGAGGGGTTGCAGGAGGGTGGGGTGGGCTAGGTGCCCTGAACTGGAACCGAGCGAGAACTGCAGATGGGATGTAAGATGTTCTTCCTGAACAGGATGTGGTTCCCAAAGGGACGTTTATGTCACCCCCCATTGCCCACAGACAGTTGACAAATATTTGGTAAGCACCGGCCATGTGCCAGGCGTTGCAGGTGCTGGGGGGGAGGGGGGCACCAAGGACACTCCAGCTGATGACTCCTTGCATTCTCACCACTGCAGGGATGAGGTGCCACTACTTTCCCTAAGAACCCCAAGTCTGTCATCAGATAGTAAAGCTGGTGTAAAGTGTTACCTTCTTTTGGAGGGTTTGAGGAGTGCAGTGAAGAAAATATGGGAGTGGCTGCATTGTCTTCAAAATATTTTTATTGATTTCAGAAAAGAAGGGAGAGGCGAGGGAAAAGTTAGAAACATCAGTGATGAGGATCATTGATCAACTGCCTCCTGCATGCCCCCTACTGGGGATCAAGCCCACAACCCAGGCATATGCCCTTGACCAGAATGGAACCTGGGACCCTACAGACTGCAGGCTGACTCCACTTAGTCAAACTGGACAGGGCCCAAATTCAATATTTGGAGACTTTCAGTGTAGTGTAGAGCAAGAATGAGATGTGGGGTGTCACTGAAAACAAGAGAAGCCACACATGAGACACGTTGCCCACCTTCCTAGTTCTAGCCACAGAGACTCCCAGGAGCTCAGGGAGACGGAGACCACCTTTCGGCAGCGTAGTTACACCTCCCTCCCGTGGTGGTGATGGGCTGAGGCGCGGAGGCCTGGGGCGTTTCGAAAGCGGATCCCAAGCACACCTCATTGGTGTGGGCTTCACTTGGTTGTGCTTTACATATGTGTTTTCATTAACATTGAAGCAAAGACCCTCTACCAACAAAAAGATTGTGACTCACTGAAGGCTCAGATGATGGTTAGCATTTTTGGCAATAAAGTATTTTTAAGTTAAGCTGTGTTTGTTGTTTTTAAGACAGGTGCTGTTGCACAGTTAGCAGGCTACGGAACAGTCGTAAACGTGCACTGGGAGCCAACACCTCTGACTCGCTTTATTGTGATGATCACATTTGCAGTGGTCCGGCCTGCAACCTCTCCCAAGCAGGCCTTGTAGTAACTGCCATTTACTGCTCATTCCCGCACCAAGTGCTTTATCACATTATCCTCATAGCAACTCAGGTCTACCAAAACCTTTGTTTTTTTAAAAAATATATTTTATTTATTTTTCACAGAGAGGAAGAAAGGGGTATAGAGAGTTAGAAACATCGATGAGAGAGAATCATCAATCAACTGCCTCTTGCACACCCCCTACTGGGGATGTGCCTGCAACCAAGGTACATGCTTTTGACTGGAATAGAACCTGGGACCTTTCAGTCCGCAGGCCGACGCTCTATCCACTGAGCCAAACCGGTTTCGGCAGGTCTACCAAAACTGTTAGGTCCATGTTCCTCTTAGAAGCAGCACAGGTTTCCCTCGGGGGAGATGACAGGCAGTAAGTGGCAGAACCAGGGCTCTTCAGCACGTTTCGGGTTTGAAGTCGCTCGGCTGTAAACCCCCTGTTAGGACAGGTTTCCATTTCGAGGCTCCAGGTGTCTGTCCTAGCTTGGTGCCCGCCAGTGTGATCAGTGTGGACAGATCAATGACCAAGCCAGGAGGTGGTTCTCTCCCTTTATCCCTTGTTCATGACCAGAGGAAAGCCTTCCCTGGCCGTGTCTCACATTTGGTGCACATCTTGTCCATGAGTAGACCAAGCACTCAGAGGTGATACTCGCTGTGCTGGACCCCGTGCTGGGGGTATGTGTATGTGTATATGTATATGTATATGTCTGAGGGCCTAACATCCCGGGCTCTGAGTCCTGCTTCCCACCGGAACCATGCCTGTCCCGGTCCCAATGAGGCTGGAAGCTGGGAAGCAGGGGAGGGCTGAATCTTACGTCCGGGGACATCTTAGGGAGAGGAGAGACCTGGGGGTGAGGGTTCTGAGGAGTGAAACCACTTCCTGTGCAGCTAGTTCCTGTGTTGACAGAGCTGGAGGGGAGGAGGGGAGGGCGCACATTGGTGGGGGCTGGGGTCTACTGAGGCTCTGGAGGGGGAAGCAGGAGTCCTCACCCACCTAGAAAGCCTCCATCACTGCCGGAGGGGCTCTTCCCGGCCTCCGCTCCCCGGGGAAGAGGTTCGGCAAGCAGCTTGGGTGGGAAAACAGAACTGGAGGAAGTTGACAGGGATGGGCGGGGCCCATGGGGGACTGACCAGGAACCCAGCTTCCTGCTTAGTACCCAGACATCCAGCCCCTGGCTCACCCCCACCCCTTCCAGCCCCCACTCCCCTCAGGAACCTAGGGTTCCGGCCCTCCTCCAAATCCTAGCTCCCCTCCCCCATCGGTTTCTCCCCTCCAGGGCATGGAGGCTGAGAGACCCCAGGAAGAGGATGGTGAGAAGGTGAGCAGGCCCCGATGGGGTGGGGGGTGGGGGCTGACCCTGGGGGAGGGAGGGGAGAGGACCTGAGGCAGAGACCTAGTGACCCTGGACGCAGGGCTTGGAAGGGCTTGGGCAGCGGGGTGGGAACAGACAGAGGAAGCAGGCTGCTGGCCTGGCCCGCCCCTGCTCCACGGAACGGCTCTCTCGGCATCAGGGCCCCCCTCAGGATGAGCACAGCTGGCCCCCTGTAAAGACCACCGTTCGACCTTGGCGATCGGCTCCTCCATCCCCTCCTCCAGGGACCCGCCGCACAGGTACCCCACCTGACCCAGGGGGTTCCCAACTGACCCTGGTGCCTGCATCCCTCCTAATCCTACTGCCAGGGTCCACTCCGCCACGGGCCCCTTCCCACATCCTCCGGACTCCCCCTGTACCTCCTTACCTCCCACCACAGTCCCTAACCACCTCACTGTGCGGCCCGGTCCCAGTCCCAGTCCCCACCTGCCGACCTCTGAGCCCTCCCCCTACCCACCCAGCCCTAGGACCCCGCTCGGCCTCCCTGCTCTCCCTGCAGACTGAGCTCCTTCTGGACCTCGTGGCTGAGGCCCAGTCCCGCCGCCTGGAGGAGCAGAGAGCCACCTTCCACGTCCCCGAGGATCCCCCAAACCCAGCCCCAGCCCCAGCCCCAGCCCGGCCCCAGGAGGACAGAGAACAACTCTACAGCACCATCCTCAGCCACCAGGTGAGACACCCACGCCCCAGGAGGCCAGCCCAGTTTCCTGGTCTCTTGACCCTGTCCCTCCTTCTGCCCCACCCGCCCCTCTCCAGCTCTAGCCCCCCACCCCCACCCAGTCACAGGTGCCCCATATGCCCCTCTGGCCAGCCCGGCTCCTCTCACCTCACACCTCCCATCCCTCCATCCCTCCAGTGCCAGCGGATGGAAGCCCAGCGGTCAGAGCCCCCCCTCCCCCCAGGGGGACAGGAGCTCCTGGAGTTGCTGCTGAGAGTTCAGGGTGGGGGCCGAATGGAGGAACAAAGGTCTCGGCCCCCCACTCACACCTGCTGAGATTCGAGCCCCCACCAGCCCCTCCGCATCCCGGACTCCTCCAAGCGGGGCAGCCCTCCACCCTGCTGGGCAGGGGCGCCCAGAGAGATCTGCCCGGCGTCCTCGCCCACGTTCCTGGGAACTGAGGGGCGCCAGGCCCGGCACCCTGGGAACAGGCTCGGCAGGGTGGCCACCCGGGCCTCCCGAGTGCGGAATGCGGAGCCGGAGGCAGTGCGGCCCCTGAACGCCTCGGGGAGCGGCGCGCAGGCTGGGCCCAGAGCGCCCGGCGGACCTGAGGGCTCCGGCCTCCGACCCGAGACAGAGAGCCCGCTCCCCGCTCCTTCCGGCCGGGAGGGCCTGGCCTGTGTGAATAAAGGTGTTCCCTCCACCGGCCTGTGTGTGGCTGCGGGGCCGCCCGCGGGTTCATTAGCTCGTTAAGCGGCGGCGGGAGACCCCTAATCACGCCCTCGTCTTAATTAGTGAGCGGGCGGGAGCCATCAGCCCGGCGCGGCGGCGCCGCCGGGACCGCGCCCCGGGCCGGAGCCGAGCCCACCCCGACCCCCGGCCCCCGGCCCGCCCGCCCCGCGCCCCCGCCTCCCGGTCCGCACCTTCCCCGCCCCTCCCTCTCCCCCCGCTTCTCCCTCCTCCCTCCTCCCTCCCCCCTCCTCCCTCCCCTCCCCCCTCCCTCTCCCCCCGCTTCTCCCTCATCCCTCTCCCCTCCCTCCCTCCCCTCCTCCTCCCAGTCTCCCCCTCCCCTCCCGCCGCGCTGCCGGCCGGCCCGCCCCGCGCCCCGCCCCCTCCCGCCCTCCGCCCTCCTCCCTCCCTCTCGCTCACACACACCCCCGCCTGGGCCTCCTCTCTCCGGCTCCATTTTCTCCGCCGCCGGGGGCCGGGGTCTCCTGTGGGGGCCCAGCCGGCACCCCGGGTCTCCCCTCAGAGCCGGGGTGACCCCCGGGGAGCCGGGAGCCGGGGGGACGGGCGGGGTCGGGGCGCAGGAGCAGCGGCCCCGCCGAGTTTGGGGGGAAGTAGCCCGGCGGGGGGGAGGGGGCCTCAGGGCCCCCCACTATGGACGAGCGGCTGCTGGGGCCGCCCCCTCCGGGCGGGGGCCGCGGCGGCCTGGGGCTGGTGGGGGGGGAGCCCGGGGGCCCCGGCGAGCCTCCGGGCGGCGGGGACCCCGGCGGGGGCGGCGGGGGCGTCCCGGGGGGCCGAGGGAAGCAGGACATCGGGGACATTCTGCAGCAGATAATGACCATCACGGACCAGAGCCTGGACGAGGCCCAGGCCAAGTGAGTGCCCCCACCCGCCACCCACTCAGCAGGAGCCCGAGCGGGCTGCTCTCTGAACCCCAACTCCAGACCCACCTCTCCTCCTGGCTCCCGGGACCCCCGATAAGTGACTCCTCTCCTTCACCCCGCCCTGCACCCTTCAACAGGGGAGCCCAGGCGGTCTCACCCTCTCCTCACCTCTCACTGACCCGCAGCCCCTGAACACCTTCCCTCTCCAGAGCCCCCTCCGGCTCCTCCCCGACTCTGCACAGCCCCTGCCGCCTCTGCAGACCTGGGGCCTCCACACCCTCCCAGAGTGCCCACCTCTGCTCTCCACCACGGCCCCGCCTCCCCCTGCTCAGCCAGGACCCTCCACACACACACCCCTGCCCATCCCTCCACTTCAGCTGGTCACCCCAGCTCTGGCTCTTCCCCCCAGTCTCCATCACTCTTTTGAAATCGACCTAGTCACCTTCGTATCTGCAGTCACCCCCCCCCCCCCCGACTCCCCCCTGTACCTTCTAGACAGGCTCCCCCAGCCCCAGCCGCCCGCGGCCTTCAGCCTGCTGCCTCCTCCCCACGGCCTGCTGGGAGCTGCCTCACCCCGGAACCCCACCCGCTTCACCCCAGCCCCCTTCCCACCCCAGCCCCCTTCCCACCCCAGCCCCCTTCCCACCTGCCCCTCGCCCTCACGGCCCCTGCACCTTCCCGCCCTGAACTCCGGTTCCTCCCAGGAAGCACGCCCTCAACTGCCACCGCATGAAGCCGGCGCTCTTCAGCGTGCTGTGTGAGATCAAGGAGAAGACCGGTACGTCCCTGGTCACCGCTCCCGCCGCCTGCCGGCATGGAGCCTGAGCAGGGGGTCCGGGGGTGTGCGGGGCCCTGGGCGGGACCAGAGGAGCGGCCGCAGGAGGGCGGAGGGCGGGCGTGGGGCCGGGGCCTGAGTCCCCGCTCGCGCTAGGCCTCAGCATCCGAAGCGCCCAGGAGGAGGAGCCGGTGGACCCCCAGCTCATGCGCCTGGACAACATGCTTCTGGCGGAAGGCGTGGCCGGGCCCGAGAAAGGGGGGGGCTCGGCCGCCGCGGCCGCAGCCGCGGCCGCTTCGGGGGGCGGCGTGTCCCCCGACAACTCCATCGAGCACTCGGACTACCGCAGCAAGCTGGCCCAGATCCGCCACATCTACCACTCGGAGCTGGAGAAGTACGAGCAGGTGAGGCCGGGCCCGGGCGGGTGGAGCTTCCTGGGGGCCCAGGCCACGGGCGCCTCACAGCCCACGGCCCCGCAGGCCTGTAACGAGTTCACCACCCACGTCATGAACCTGCTGAGGGAGCAGAGCCGCACGCGGCCCGTGGCGCCCAAGGAGATGGAGCGGATGGTGAGCATCATCCACCGCAAGTTCAGCGCCATCCAGATGCAGCTCAAGCAGAGCACCTGCGAGGCCGTCATGATCCTGCGCTCCCGCTTCCTGGACGCCAGGTGGGGCCCGGCCCAGCGCACACAGGACCCCGGAGCCTGCCGCACACGGGACCCCCAGAGCCCGCTGCACACAGGACCCGGGGCCCAGCGCACACGGGACCCCGGGGCCCGCCGCACACAGGACCCCGGGCCCAGCGCACACGGGACCCCAGGGCCCAGCGCACACGGGACCCCCGGGCTCAGCTGCACGGAGAGCCTGCGGGCCCAGCTGTCCTCAGCGCCCTCTCCTCCTCCGTAGGCGGAAACGCCGCAACTTCAGCAAGCAGGCCACCGAGGTCCTGAACGAGTACTTCTACTCCCACCTGAGCAACCCGTACCCCAGCGAGGAGGCCAAGGAGGAGCTGGCCAAGAAGTGCGGCATCACCGTGTCCCAGGTGCGGGGGGGCAGCGGGAGCCCCGCCGCCGAGGGCCCGGAGCGAAGGCCTCCGCTGACCTCCTCTGCCCGCACCCCAGGTCTCCAACTGGTTTGGCAACAAGCGGATTCGCTACAAGAAAAACATCGGGAAGTTTCAAGAGGAGGCAAACATCTACGCGGTCAAGACCGCCGTGTCCGTCACCCAGGGGGGCCACAGCCGCACCAGCTCCCCGACACCCCCTTCCTCCGCAGGTGGAGCCCTGGGCCAGCCTGGCTGGCTGTTTGCACGCTTCCTGCTTTTGTTCCCGCTTCCTATCGAGGCAGGACCAGGGCATAGGGTGGGGGCCTCTGGGGGTAACACACCAGGCAGGCGGGCGAGACGTGGGGACAAAGGCCACTCGGGCAGTCCCGTCCCCCAGCGCGGAGGCCCGGAGCAGAGCCGGGCGGCGGTCGTGCACGTGGCACCCCACAGCTCGTTCTGAGGGCTTGTTGGAAACGGGGGTGTCTCCCTCTGCCACAGGCTGTCACCGTCCCTAATTCCTTCTCTGCTCCCCAAGGCTCTGGCGGCTCTTTCAATCTCTCAGGATCCGGAGACATGTTTCTGGGGATGCCTGGGCTCAACGGAGACTCCTACTCTGCCTCCCAGGTCAGTGCCCGCCCAGAGGGCTGGCCGCTGGGTCCCTCCTCCAGCGCCCAGACGCTCCTCCAGAGGCGCTCACTGCCTCACCTCCTCCTCTCCGCAGGTGGAGTCCCTCCGGCACTCGATGGGCCCAGGGGGCTATGGAGAGAGCCTCGGGGGCGGCCAGATGTACAGCCCCCGGGAGATGAGGGTGAGTGGAGCCTGCAGGCCTCCCCTGCCCCCAGGACGGTGCCCTGCCCGCAGCACTGCCCCACACCGGGTTCAGAGCCTCACCCGACTGTGTTTTCCAGGCTAATGGCGGCTGGCAGGAGGCTGTGACCCCGTCCTCGGTGACGTCCCCCACAGAGGGACCAGGGAGCGTTCACTCTGACACTTCCAACTGACCCCCTCAGGGCCACGGGGTGGGGCTCACAGGTGACGGCGAGAGGACAGAGGCATCCAGAGGACACGCCCAGACACAGAAGCACAAGATGGAGAAGGGCAAATGGGCGCCCTGCCCAGCCGGCTCAGTGCTGGGGTTGCTGACTACATGGCAAGGAGAAGGGGTCCCCTAAGGGGAAGGTGGAGTCTGTGTCCCGTTTTCCCTTCTTTTCAATCTTTTTCTCTCCCCATTTCTTACACAGAAACACACCCAGAACCCTCTTTTAGATCCTCTCTCACAGACACATACACTATTGTTTCTCTCCGACACACACGACTATTCTGTCTCTGTCATACATACACACCCATTCCCTCCGCCCCTCCCTCTCCCTCTCTCTCTTCACCCGTTCTCCCTCCCCCACCCCTTATCTGCTCTGGGATCTGTGGAGACGCCAGCCTTGCCCTACCTATCAGAGATGCCAAAAATGGGGACAACTTCTGGACAGATGACCTGGCCGCGCCCCGGGCCTCCCCCCTCCAGACGGCTTATTACCTCATATGCAGCTCATCTTAAACCAATAGAATTGCTCGGTGAACGAGAGTGTCTGACTCAGATATCTACCTCGGAGGGAGTTTCTGCTACTTTAGGGAATTGGGAATTGTTAACTGGGTTTGGGGTCCAACTTTTTTTTTTTTTTTTTTAGAAAAAAAAATCCCTGGGCTCCATCTGTATTTTGGGGGTGTTTTGTTGTTGGTGGTTCTTAATTTTTAATTGAGTTTGGGGAAGTAGATGTTTTATATGTTGATTTTTTTTTATTTTTTTTACCTTAATCACTGGCTTTCCCATATTCGGGGAGACAGCAAAGGGTACATGATAAGAGAAAGGGGGACAGTGGGACCAGTGAGGGCCGGCTGGCTCATCCACAGAGTACATTTAGCAGCGCCAAGCCCGCCCCTCACACCCCTAGGTGTCCTCTGCTCTAAGGCCCAGGGGCATTCCCTGGCTGGGCCGCTCCCCTGCGCTTGGTGTGGAGGCAGCGGGCTTGGGTGCTGGCCTGCGCTCCCTCAGCCCGTGGGCAGGGCTGGGCACAGCCGTTGGGAGGCAGTGCCACCTTCCCCTGTGACGCCTTTTCTAACTGCAGCTGGAGGGGAGAGGGGGAAGGGTCATTGTGAAACAAGTGTGAGTTGGAGAGCTTGTGTGTGTATCTCCCTCAGTTTCCCCAGAAATGAGGTGTCTGTTCTCAGTCCAAAATCCTGAGGGTGGGGGGAGAGGCTGCCAGAAGCCAGGTAGAGAGGGAGGTCAAGTCTCTGCCGCCCCATCCTCGGCCCTGAACCCCTCCAACATCGTCAGGATCTCAGACTGTCACCATGGGAACCGCCCGGCAAAGATCGGCAGACTGGGCAGGCTGGGACTGATGGAGGAGGCGGGAGGCGCTGGGCAGTACTCTCCTCACTTGTAAACTTATAGTTTCGCAAAAAAAAAAAAAAAAAAAGCAGTTTTAAATAAAGAAATTTTCCCCCTGGGTTTAGTTGAGAATTATTTTCAAAAACGTAAACTCCAGGAAGAAAACATTTCTCTCTTCATAAAAGCCCGAAAGGGTTTCCCCGAGTCCACCAGCCTTGCCTTCGCACCCAGGCCCCATGTCTCAGCCAGGCTCCTGCATCGGGGACAGCCTGCCCGGAACCGTTGGCCTGGAGCCGGTGTCCGCAGATGGCTCCAGTGGCCACCATGGCCTCAGGTGGTCAGGTTGGGGCCTGAGACCCTAGAAGATGCACGCCCCACCCCCACAGATGTGGCAGCGCCAGGGTGGGGTGATCACCCTTCTAGCATCTGAAGGACTCTTAGCCGAGAGTCACGAATTCCTAGCATTCCCGGTGCCAGGACAGGACCAGGAGAGGGGGCAGGGGAGCGGGTACAGGCCCCACCTAGGGCAGAGGCCACAGCAGTGAGAGGCAGACAGAGCCAGGAGCCTGGACGGGAGGCAGGATGGCGGCAGGGGCCGTGGCGGGAGCCTGGGTGCTGGCCCTCAGTCTGTGGGGTGAGCCACTGCCCCCGCCTGTGGGAGGCACGCGGCCCTCCCAGTCTTCCCAGACCCCGCGCCCCTCCAGCGCCCTCGTCCCCTCCAGCCCCTCCACTTGCTGCTGTCTCCCAGGGGCAGGGGCAGTGGCAGGCTGTCAGAACATCACGGCCGCGATCGGGAAGCCGCTGGTGCTCCGCTGTAAGGGTGCTCCCCGGAAGCCACCCCAGCAGCTGGAATGGAGACTGGTGAGTGGGGCTCCGGGCGCAGCCTCCCACCCACCCCCCGGAGCCCTCCCCGAAGGGCTGGCGCTAGCCGGGCCTCTCTGTCCCCAGCACACAGGCAGGACGGAGGCCTGGAAGGTCCTGTCTCCCCAGGGAGGCTCCTGGGACAGCGTGGCTCAAGTCCTCCCCAACGGCTCCCTCCTCCTGCCGGCGGTGGGGGTCCCCGACGAGGGGACTTTCCGGTGCCGGGCGGTGAGCCGCAAAGGAAAGGAGATCAAGTCCAACTACCAAGTCCGAGTCTACCGTAAGGTTCCGGCCCTCCTTCCCCCCGGCCCTCCTTCCAGGAGAGCCTTCCACCCCAGCGGCGCTCCCTGCCTCCCTGGCGATGGAGAGTCTTCAAAGCCCCAGCTTTTGATTGGGTTTCCCTCCTCCAGAGATCCCCGGGAAGCCCGAGATCGTGGATCCCGCCTCTGAGCTCCAGGCCGGCGTCCCCAACAAGGTAGTGGGAGGAAAGGGGAGAGAGCAGAGCGGACAGACGGGCGGCTGGGTGCGTGTATGGCATCTCACTTTCAAAGGTGATGAGGTCACTTTTAAAAAAACATACTTTATTCATTTTCCACAGAGAGGAAAGGAGAGGGACAGAGAGCTATAAGCGTCGATGAGAGAGAATCATCACTCAGCTGCCTCCTGCACACCCCCTACTGGGGATGTGCCCGCAACCAATGTACATGCCCTTGACCGGAATCGAACCTGGGACCTTCCAGTCCGCAGGCCGACACTCTATCCACTGAGCCAAACCGGTTTGGGCTGATGAGGTCACTCTTTCCCCAGGTGGGGACGTGTGTGTCTGAGGGGGGCTACCCCGCAGGGACTCTCAGCTGGCACTTAGATGGGAAACCCCTGGTACCCGATGGCAAAGGTGAGTCCGTTGCCCTGCCAGCTGCCTTTCTCCTGGTCCCGCCCCGCACACCGAGGGCCACAGCGCCTTCTCCCTCCCCCTCAGGCGTGTCCGTGAAGGAAGAGAGCAGGAGACACCCCGAGACGGGGCTTTTCACGCTGCAGTCAGAGCTGACGGTGACCCCAGCGCAGGGGGCAGCGCCCCGCCCCACCTTCTCCTGCAGCTTCCGCCCCGGCCGCCCCCGGCGCAGAGCCCTGCACACAGCCCCGCTCCAGCTCAGCGTCCAGGGCGAGCCCGCAGGTGGGTGAGGGCTTCGGAGGTGTGGCCACGGCCCGCACAGCCGGGTAACGCTGCCTCCCCCTCCCAGCCCCGGAGCCGGGGCCACAGGTCCATCTGGCGGTGGAGCCGGAAGGCGGAGCAGTAGCTCCTGGTGGCACCGTGACCCTGACCTGTGAGGCCTCCGCCCAGCCCCCCCCTCAAATCCACTGGGTCAAGGACGTGAGTGTTGTGGGGAGGAGCTGGGAGGAGAGAGGCCTAACTGGAAACTGGGAGGGCAGGGAGCCCAGGGAGCTGGGAAGAAGGGTGCCTGCGGATGTGGACCCAGACGGGAGATGGGATGTGTAATGGCCTCCTGTCCCCCTCCCCCTCCCCAGGGCACCCCCTTGCCCCATCCCCCCAGCCCAGTGCTGCTCCTCCCTGAGGTAGGGCCTCAAGATGAAGGAGTCTACAGCTGTGTGGCCACCCACCCCAGCCACGGGCCCCAGGAGAGCCGTGCTGTCAGCATCAGCCTCATCGGTGAGGAGACCGTTACTGCTCCGTTCTGGCACTGTCCCCAAGAGCCACCCCACGCCACCCCGTTCACCCACACCCGGCCTCGGCCACCCCCAGACCCTACCAAGAGGGCAGCCCTGTCCTCTCCCCATTCGGAGCTAAAACAAGAAAACACCCACTAGATGGTCCCCTCGCGGCCTGCCGCCTTCCTTTCTGATGCTCCAACTTTGTCTTCCAGAAACCGGCGAGGAGGGGCCTGCCGCAGGTGAGGGGCTGGAGGCCAGAGGAAGACCGGCCCCAATGTGAGCGGGGATGGTCAACAATGGGGCTGGGCCTCACCCCTCCATTTCCCCACAGGCTCTGTGGGAGGGCCTGGGCTGGGAACCATAGCCCTGGCCCTGGGCATCCTGGGAGGCCTGGGGGCAGCCGCCCTGCTCATTGGGGTCATCGTGTGGCAAAGGCGCCGCCGCCGAGGAGAGGAGAGGTGAGTGGAGAAGCTGGGCACCGGGGCTTGGGCGTCCAGGCGGGGGGAGAGGCGGGGGGAGGGCCAGGCCCCGTGCAGAGCGCTCCCCTCCTCCCCAGGAAGGCCCCGGACAACCAGGAGGAGGAGGAGGAGGAGCGTGCAGAGCTCAACCAGTCCCAGGAGCCCGATGCAGCCGAGGGCAGTGCAGGAGGGCCTTAAGGGGCCCCTGGCCACCCCTTCCCTCACCCCCTTTTCTTTTCCCCACACTGTGTTGGCCCCAGACCATTTCTCCCTGTCTAACCTCCACTCACCTTGCCTCACGTCCTTTCACAACCAGAGCCTGCCACCATCAGCGATGAGTAAACACCGGGTGTAACCTTGTTCCCTTTGCTCGTGTGTGTGTGTGTGTGTGTGTGTGTGTGTGTGTGTGTGTGTGAGAGAGAGAGAGAGAGAGAGAGAGAGAGAGAGAGAGAGAGGGAGACATGCTCACCCACTACTGCCGAGAACGTCCCCACCACACCACACTCACTCAAAGTGGGGTTGTCCGCCTGGGAAGGAGGGGAGGAAGGACAAAGGCGGGCAGAGTTCCCATCAATAATCTTGTTTATTGAGTGTGTGATAAAGGAGTCAGGAGAGGGAGCACTTAGTCAGAACCCACAGTAGGTCCTGGGGAGAGGAAATTAAATTAAATCAAGGGGGAGGTCAGGGAGAGTCAGAGGGAGCCTTGCCCACCTTTCAAAATCAAATCAAGAAACAGGGGGACGCACGGGATGAGGAAAGAGGAGAAACAGACCTCTTCAGTCCCTCTCCCGCGCTGGAGGGGCTGCGCGGAGGGTGCAGTGAGAGTGGCCCGAGGCAGCCCCTCTGTCCGGCGGGGGGGCCCCGCGGGCAGTGCACTCCCCACCCCGCCCGGAGAGTGGCCCACGGAAGTGGAGGGGCTGGGCGAGGGCCCGGGCGTGAGGAAGGGTCAGCGGGGACCCCAATACTGATTCTCCTCTGGCTGGAGGTGGGCAGAAAGGAGACACGGCTCAAATACTGAGCAGCCAGAAAAAGAAGAAAATGGCGAGAAACAGGAAGAGAGAGTCCTGCCAGCTGGAGGCCGGGTGGCCCTGTCCCAGATCCGCACCTGGAGGAGAAAGGAGGCTGAGGCAGAAGCACCCTCTCCGGGCCGGAGGGGCGGGAGGGGCGGGAGGGGCGGGGCTCCCCGGCAGGGGCTGGCATGGCGCGCACCTGCGCCACGGCGGAATGGCTCGTGGGCGTTGAAGACAGTGGTGAAAAATCCGAAGGGAAAGGCGCCCACACCGAACGAGAAGTGAAAGGCCCCGGGATCGCCGAACGGCTGGAAGCCCTGCGGGGGCAGAGGGAGCCTGGTGAGCTGCCTGAGGCTTTGGCAAGGAAGGGACCCGTCAGACCAGACTCACCCCTCTGCTCTCCGGAGCTGGTCGCCGGCCCTGGGGGCGGGGGGGCGTTTTCAACCTGAGGAAGGAGAGGGGGACATCAACATGAAATGTCCCTCTGCTTCCACACCCTCCCGCCTTTCCTGGCACTCCCTCCTCTCACCTGGGATCCTGGGGCTTCTGGCTCCCCCGCCCATAAAGGGGGACCACCTTCTCTCTGCTGATGCCAGCTTTACACACTGGGCACTCCTGCCGCTCTGGCCGCGTCTCCAGCCACTGGGGGGGAAAATGAAGTGGTTTCCAGTATGCAGCAGGTCCGCCAGCTCCTCAGACCTCCCCATTTCCCTCGTCATCTCTTCTGAGTACGCACCTGATGAAGACAGGGCCAACTGGATGGGGGGGAAAAAAAGGTCAAACTAGCTACAGGAAGGAGGCAAGCCCCATCTCGCCCCCAATTCCCAAGCATCACCGGCTGTTTCTCTTCGTATTGTCTGCCCCCTCTGCCGTGCCAGCCAGCGAGGCCTTCCTGCTTTTCTAATCTTCCAACACAAAGTTTCATCCGCCCCCCTCCCACCCCACACACACACTCATCCCCTCCCTTCTCCCGTTGACTTAGTTTTCAACCATCCCTTTCCAGATCTCCTCTTTCAGTCCCAGCCCCATCCTTGCCCCACACCCATCACTCCCCAACCCAAACCTAATTCGCCCCACCCGCCCCACTCCTTTTCCTCTCTCCCAGGCACATGAAGTCCCTGTTGCCACAACCCTCCAACCTCTCACGCTGTCCCTCCAAGTGCCCTTGTCCCCAGGGCATACCAGCCCGCCCCTGACATAGCTCACCGGAATGTGGTCCCACATTCCCTAGTCTCCCCCACTCAACGAATGCCTCTCCTACCCGCTGGGCCTAATGCGTTTCCACCTGCATAGCTACGACCCCTCTCTTATCTGGGGTAAGGAGGCTCGGGTCTCCCCGTTTCTCCAGATCACACCACTCGCTCCCGCTCCTAGCTCCTGCGCCTCTGCTTTTCAGTCTGGTCGTACAGATGAGCCCCCCCCACACACACGGAAAGACGTGCGCTCCCTCCTCCGGGCTCATCTATGGGGAGGTGCCCTCCGATTATCCGTGTGATTTGTGATCCCCCGCCCCCAGCCCGCCCCGTGCGAAGGTGAGCCCCACTCCTCTCGCCCGCTGCCCGCTTCTCACCAGTACAGGTGGCCACACATACTGATCACAGCCTCCCGAGCCGTCTCCAGACATATATTACATTCGAAGGTGGCGCCCGCCCCGCCCCGCTCGCAGTTTGGCCCTTCGGGGCCCCCATCCTCCTCCTCCGCTGCTGCCATGGCCCGTTCGGTTTCGCCCCCACAAACCCCTAAGTCCCCGCAAACACACAAATACAAGCCCCAACAAACAAGAGACCGCCTCCCGCTCACGACCATTGGTGAGGCCTAAAGGTGTTTTCATCGCGATTGGTCTGAGTGCCTGCCAATCACTCAGGATGCGCCATAAAGGATTGGTCCGGAGGCGGGGGAGGAAGAGGTTTGCGCGGCCTGCCCTTGCCCTATGACTATTGGCTCATGCAGTCGCCGTCGCTGGCGTGCTCTGCCATTCGCCCGCCACCGGGCCAAGGGAAGCTTTATTGGTGTGGGTAGCTGCCAGTCATGTCCAAAGGCCAGAAGCAATTGGTTCGGGACTGCCCTTGCTGTCCTTTCCTTCCTCTTTCTCAGAAGGTCCGGACTCCTATTGGACTTTGGAGCGTATGACTCCACGGCAATTGACTGGCTGGGCTCGACGGAAACTGGTGATTAGACAGTGCGCGTGCGCAGCAGGCGGCGGGAAGGGGTGGACCAATCCCGGGAGCGCTGAGCTTTCTGCGGGCCCGCCCTGCACCTCTATCTCGTCGTCATGGCGACTGCTCTACAATTGGCTGGGTTCGCGTCCAAAGGATTCGGCTCAGCCTCCTCCGAGTGCTCGGGCTGCGGCATCCCTCGCCCGATTGGCCCGTTTCCTTCGCCCCTAATTGGCCGAGATCGGGAGAGACGGCGAAGAGCTCAGGAAAAAGGGCAAAACGGGGGTCGCAGGGTTCAAAATGGCTCCGGCCTCCTTCGGTGACGTAGGGAACAAAACTCGGGGCCGCCCCTCCCTCTCAGTGAAGAGTGGGGAGCCGGCCTTAGCCCGACGCCGGGATGGTGCGAGCCTCGACCCGCGGCGCAGGTGTTAACGGCCTCCCGCGGCTGGACTCGGCCCGCCCTGTAGGTCCCCCGGAGCAGAACGGAAGCCGGACCCCGTGTAAAGGGCGGCAGACCGCTGGCCCGCCCCGGCCTAGGCCTCCGCGGCGAGGCGCCCAGTCCCCTTCGGAGCGGCTGCGGGGCCGGGCGCCCCCTGAAGGCGACCTGGGCCCGCCCCGCCCGCCGTGGGAGATGCCGGGCCGCGGGCCTCCCGGGGCCTTTGTTCCGCAGTCAGTGACCCTCAGGGCGGCCCGGGGAGCGGGTTTCGGAAACCCGGGCGCCGGGGCCTGGGCGTCGTCCTCCGGGCGTGCGGGCCGCTCGGCGGGGCGGGGCGGCGGGCGCCTGATAAGCGCGGCCGGCGGCGGAGGGTCAGGGCAAGTGGCCGGGCGAGCGGCGGAGACCGAGGAGGAGGCAGATAGGATGATCCCGGTAAAGGGACTGCGGGACACGGGCTGGGCGCCGCGCTCACACCCCCTTCAGAATTGCGGGGCGTGCCTGTCCCCGAGGAACCAGCACCCCGCCCCCCAAAGCGCCCAGTGCCCGGTCCCGGGTGAAGATGTGCGCCCGGCTGCGCGGAGAGGGAGGCCGGAGAGCCGAGGCGGCGGCGCGGGCGGCGGGCCCTCCCCCGGGAAGAGGGGCGGCGGGAGGGGAGCGGGGGGGGGGGAGGAGGAGGAGGGAGGGGACAAAGAGAGACCCCGCTGGGGCCCGGGTGAGGTGAGGCCAGAGGATGGAGCCCTGAGGGACGGGGGAGGCTCGGGGCTCGGCGTCTAGGTCCGTCATGAATCCCTGGGATTGAATGGGGACCAGAAGGGGCCTCGGAGAGGAGCCGCGGGAACGGGCTGCAGCCGGGGCCGCGGAGGAAGGCGGCGCCGGGGAGGGTGGGAGGAGAGCCGCGGCCGGGAGACGGGGCGAGCGCAGCCCGCGGGGACGCGGCCGAGGAGGTGATGGAGGAGGATGCGCCGCAGGCCCGGCCCAGCCCGCCGCGGGGCCGCTAGCGGGAGGAGACGCCCGGGTGCCTGGGAGGCGATTGGCAAAACAGGCCGCCCATCACCGCCCCCCACTTCCTTTCCGGCCCCGGAAACCGGCGGCGTCGGGGGTGGGGGGATAGCGGCACCAGCAGCCCAGCCCTCGGAGACAGCAGGAAGGGTGGGAGGGAGCTGGGGGCCAGCCCCCACCATTCCTGCCGCCATGGGCCCTGCCTCCCACTCTCGCCTCCCCTCCATCGGCCGGGGCTAGGATACCCCCAAGCCCGTCGCCCCCTTGGCACCGACACCCCGAACGAGGCAGAGACACAGCCGCCCGCCGCCTCCGCTGCCGCAGCCTGGCCGGGGAGGGGGCCGGCCCCCCAGGCTCCCCTCCCCACTGAGGTGGGGGCAGGAAGGGAGGGGAGGGGAGGGTGGGGGAGAGGATGGGGCTGGGAGAGGGTTGCTGGGAAGAGGAGAGCCGCCGGGGGAGAGGGTTTCTGGGGGGAAGGGGGGGGGGGACTTGAGGGGGAGGAAGGATGGAAGAGGGAGAATTGGAGGCGCTGCGAGTCGTGGGAAGGGTGTGGACGGGGAGCCCTGGGCAGGGAATTCCTGCGCTCCCCAATCCCAATCCCTTTCCTCGCCCTTTGGCCCCACTTGATTCTTGGAGGGTTGGGGCCGGGAGGAGGCCGCTATGCTATGGCCCTCCCTCCCTCCCTCAGCAGGATTTGCTTCCCAGGAATGCCCTCAGACTGGTCTCCCATTAGGCGCAGGGCCTCTTGCTCCCCTGGCTTCCCCGCTGCTCCCCTCGGACCCGGTGTTTCTGGGTTGAATGTGTACCGTGCACTGTATGGCTTGTGTGCAGCTAGGTTGTCCCGTGCTCCCCGCGGGCTGTGAAGAAGTGCTGTTATTTCCCGTCAGATTGCCCATTCTCATCTTAGTCCATGTCTCATGTCTAGTCTCCACATGTTCAGGTGTGAGTTTTCATGTACATATTGCATCTATTATTGGCTTCATGTTTCTTGCATATAAACTTCGGCATGTAGAGATTATACCTTGTTTTGGGGGGCTCACGTGTGCCGTCCGTGTTCTCATCATATGCAGCGTGTGGGATCCATGACAAGCACACGCTCCTTTCATAATCCGGTTGGCCTCTGCTGTGTATATTTTCCCAGTCAGGGTTCACTTTACACATATCGTGCTCCTTCACATGATGTGCTGATTTGACATGTCCAACATGCTATGGTCACACATACTATTAATTATTTCTTAATTTTACTGGCATTATGTTTTGGGACTCAGTGCTCGTTAATCCATTTGGCACTTTGTTGTGTTTATCAATCCTGGGTATTCCTGCTCCAGAGAGGATCTTGTAATATTACTATGCATATTAGAGAGGGTAACGGGGCCTCTATCTCCCCAAAGAGCCACGTCCAGGTGCCTTAGCTGCTGCCTTCTCTGGCCTGTGTCACTTCCTGCACGTGATCTCTCCGGGGGCTGTGTGCGTGGTCCGTGGAGCTGTGTTGCCCTGGTCAGCCTGCTGTGCACATCATCTGTCCCCGCTCTGCACTGTTGGCATGTATTTGGTGACAGCAGCATCTTTCCTGTGGCATGTTAATCCCTATTCTGGATGTTTCTCTTGTGTGTGTGTGGGTGTGTGTGTGTGGGTGTGTGTGTGTGATGGTATGTGCCATCCTGATGGTTGCCACTCTGTGTTTTCATTGTGGCCGGGCGTCACGTGGCTTGGTGTGCCCACTGCTTTCTCGGTGACTTCTTTTCATAGCTAACATCCTCAGGAGGATAGCTAGCTTACTCATGCTCAGGCTCATGATGTGTTCAGCAATGTTTATGAGTGCCTTCTCTGCCTCCTCCTGGCCCGGGCATCGGTGATAAGACAGAGTTGCTGTCCTCAAGCTGCTTCCAGACTAGCGAGGGAGCAGGCAGTGAGCAGTGATAGCGGTTGAAGGTGAGTGTTTCTCACGCTCACGGGGAAGGCCTGCTCAAGCACAGATCAATGGGCCCAGCACCCAGGGTTTCTGACCAGGAGATCTGGGGTGAAGTCCAACAAGTTGCATTTCCAACCTTTGAGAACCAGTGATTAGGATCAAAGGGTAAAGAGAAGGCAGGCCTCGCAGCTTCAGAAAGACCTCCAGCTCACGGCACAGCTGAGGGAGGCAGGTGACGGGGTGGAAGGCGTCCCAGCCAAAAGGCACAGAAGCCTGGAAGGTCCTGGCGTGTCTGAGGAGCTGAAGAAAATCAGTTTGGAGGAAAAGGCGTTGTGGGCGTGTGTCCAGGAAGTAAGCAGAAGTCAACTTGTCCAGAAGGGCCTTTAGGCAAGACAGGAAAAGGCCCAGCTGTGTGTGACAGAATCTGGTTGCCCCGTGGAAGGGGGATTGAAGAGGAAGAGGGACTGAACAGAAGGAGGGATTGAACAGGAGGAGGGATTGAAGGGTTGGGAGCCTGTTGCAAAAGTCCTGCTGAGAAACCCCCGGTCCACACTCGCAGGGGCGTGGCTGGGGGCGCTGAAGCTGCCATTCCAGAGCTGGCATCTCCTCCCCTCCACGGCCTGCTGCCTTCGCTCTGGGCCTGGGCTGGCCTTTAAGCACAGCCTTCCTGTCCTGGGAGGGAATGTCTTTGGCCGTGACAATATTTACCGGAACTCCGTTTTTGGGAACTGGGACCCTTCCCCCAGCAGTGGGACAGCAGCGGGGAGGAAGAAGGAAGAGCCCAGGAGGCAGGTTCTGGGCGCCTGTCCGTCTTCCTCTTCCAGGGAAGTGGCGTGATGTTCCTTGTACTCTGCCCTCTTCTCCCTCTGTGAGGCCTTCCCCTCTGTGCGTGCCGGCCAGGCTGCTGGAGGGCGGGAAGGAGTGGTGGGATTCGCTTGCCTGTTGGTGGAGGTAGGATTGATGGGTGTAGTGACTCCTGGTCCATCCATGGCTTTATCTGGAATGGGAGGCCGTGCGGGTGGAGAGGGATATTCTAGGTATGCATTCCCATCCTTCATCTGTCACTGGATGGGAGCATAAATGTGTGTGTGTGTGTGTGTGTGTGTGTGTGTGCGCGCGCGCGCGCGCGCCGGGCCGTCTTGTGTGTCTGTTGCCTGCGTGACAGAGCCTTCATTCTTGTCAGCCAGCCTTGAGAATGTCTGTGGGTGTTGGAGACTTTCGCTGTGGCTGCTGTGTGCACCTGGGTAATATGCACACAGATGGCGGGAGCTGAGTGGTGAGGGGCACGGCTGCTTAGGTTGAAGCTAGGAAGTGCCTCTCAAGTAAGTTACTGAACTTTTCTGGCCTGTTTCCTATAACGTGTAAACTTTGTGGTTTAATGTAGTGTATAGTATATGTAAACCAGCCCTGTCTGACACAAATATAACACATGCCACATATGTAATCTTTAATTTTTCTTTTTAATCTTTACCTGAGGATATTTTTCTATTTATTATTTTTTAATATTTTTTATTGATTTTTTTACAAAGAGGAAGAGAGGGGGATAGAGAGTTAGAAACATGGATGAGAGAGAATCATCGACCAGCCGCCTCCTGCACACCCCCTACCGGGGATGTGCCCACAACCAAGGTACATGCTTCTGACCAGAATCGAATCTGGGACCCTTCAGTCCGCAGACCGACGCTCTAGAGACTGAGCCAAACCGGTTTCGGCATCCATTTATTTTTTTTAGAGAGAGTGGAAGGGAAGGAGAAAGGGGAGAGGAGGGGGGGGAGAGGGAGAGAGAAACATCAGTGTGAGAGAGACACATCAATTGGTTGCCCTCTGCACATGCTCCAACCAGAGATCAAACCTGCAACCAAGGCACGTGCCCATGACCGGAAATCGCACTCATGACCCTTTGGTCCATGGGCCAGCACTCTAACCACTGAGCAGCTGGCCAGGGCTGTAATTTTTAATTTTTTGGTAGCTACATCGAAAAAGGTAAAAAGTAACAGGATGAAATTAATTTTAATCTATTGAACACAAAAGTTTGTAATTGCAAAATGTAATCAGTGTAAAAGGTTATTAAGGGACATTTTACATTCTGGTTTTCACTCAGTGTTTGAGATCTGATGTGCATTTTACATTTCCAGACGTCTCAGTCTGCATTGTAGTGCTCAGCAGCCGGGGGTGGCTGGTGGCTGCTGGGGTGCACAGCGCAGGTGGAGGCCCTTGTAAGACCTTACCAGCCACTAGTGTCAGCTCTCCTGTTGTCCTTTCAGTGCCACACATGTCATCTCTGTGGGTGCACATGTGTCCGCTCCCTGTGCATCCGGAGATATCTGGGCCTTCAGAGAGGGGGTGGGGGACCGGTCTCGAGCCCCCACTGCCCCTGCTCGGGGCTTCCTGACTGGGTTTGGACGGGAGCCCTGGCCCCATCTTGTCTCCTGCCTTCTGCACCTCACCGCCCCGCCCCTCCCGGAATCAGGCCACTGTCCCTTGCCGTCCCTGCAGGTGACCAGCATGGACCTGTGGCCGGGGGCATGGACGGTGCTGCTGCTGCTCTTCCTGCTACTGCTCTTCCTGCTGCCCACGCTGTGGTTCTGCAGCCCCAGTGCCAAGTACTTCTTCAAGATGGCCTTCTACAACGGCTGGATCCTCTTCCTGGCCGTGCTCGCCATCCCTGTGTGTGCCGTGCGAGGACGCAACGTCGAGAACATGAAGTGAGGCCAGGGGTGCTGGGTGTGAGGGAACTAAGGGTCGGAGGTGAGCAGTGCGTGGGGAGGACGTGGGTGTGCAGGAGAGCCAAAGAGTCCAGGGACAGGGGGGAGGATCGCAAAGATGTCGGGAGAGGGGAGCCGGGCGTGCAGGTGGACGCCAGTGGACCCCCTGGAACCGCCTGCCGTGACACCCCTAGGATCTTGCGTCTGATGCTGCTCCACATCAAGTACCTGTACGGGATCCGAGTGGAGGTCCGAGGGGCTCACCACTTCCCTCCCTCCCAGCCCTACGTCGTGGTCTCCAACCACCAGAGCTCCCTCGACCTGCTTGGTGAGCCCCTCCTGGAACTCACCTCCCCGCCCGCCCGCCATCCCTTCCTCTGCCCGGAGCTCCCTCCCGGGGCTCCCCAGAATCCCCTCGGACGTGCTCCCCTGCCTCAGCGGGGACGTGGCTGTCTTTCCCCATAGGCAGGGCGGAGGGCCTTTCGTCACCCTTCCCTCCATTGGATGTCCCTGGCCCTGCCGCCGTCTCCCCGCCTTATCCCCGGGCCTTGGTAGCACAGCGATGGGCTGGGTGCAGTGGCCGCCTCCGCCTGACGCTCCCCTCACCTGCCCAGGGATGATGGAGGTACTGCCCGGCCGCTGTGTGCCCATCGCCAAGCGGGAGCTGCTGTGGGCTGGCTCTGCCGGGCTGGCCTGCTGGCTGGCTGGCGTCATCTTCATCGACCGGAAGCGCACCGGGGACGCCATCAGCGTCATGTCTGAGGTGGCCCAGACCCTGCTCACCCAGGACGTGAGTCGCCTGGGGACGGGGCGGGCGGGTGGGGAACAGCTGTAAATAGCGGACAGGCGGGCTCCGGGAGCCGCACCACGCGGCCGCCCTCCACAGACCGTCTTTCCCCAGGTGCGGGTCTGGGTTTTCCCCGAGGGCACGAGAAACCACAATGGCTCCATGCTGCCCTTCAAACGCGGCGCCTTCCACCTCGCAGTGCAGGCCCAGGTGACGACTGCCCCCTCTGCCGGAGCCCAGCCCGCCACCCCTTCCTCCCGCGGAGCCCTCCGGGCCTCCGAGGGGAGCCAGGCTGATGGCCTTTCCCTCCCCAGGTCCCCATCGTCCCCATCGTCATGTCCTCCTATCAAGACTTCTACTGCAAAAAGGAGCGCCGCTTCACGTCGGGTGAGGCTCTGAGCAGACGGGGGGGGGGGGGGGGGGGGGGGGGCTCGAAAGGTCCCTGCAGAGGCTAGAGGGACGTATGTGTGTGTCCCCCACTCCGGGCAGGACCGTGCGTGCCCACAGATCACTGCCAGGAGGTATTTGAAGCGCCACCACAGGCGTTGGTTACTGTGGGCAGGAGAGAGAAGGCCTGTGTGTGCGGGGCTGTGCACTCGGCAGTGCGTGCTACACCCAGACAGAGGGGTGGAAGGGGGAGGCCGTGCGGGAGGGAGGCCTCAGGAACAGGCGCGGCCGGCAGGCAGGGGGCCGTTGCCCAGCGCCCGGAGAAGAGCCCTAAAAGGTTGAGGAGAAGGGCAGCAGGAGAGCGCAGGAATGGCCCACCCCCGGGCAGAGGCCGGGGACAGGCCTGACTGCCCCTCCCTCCCCTCCCAGGGCGATGTCAGGTCCGGGTGCTGCCCCCAGTGCCCACCGAAGGGCTGACACCAGATGACGTCCCAGCTCTGGCCGACAGGGTCCGGCATTCCATGCTCACCATTTTCCGGGAAATCTCCACCGACGGCAGGGGTGGTGGCGACTATCTGAAGAAACCCGGAGTCGGCGAGGCCCGGCTCTGAGTTCCCCCACCCACACCTGCCAGCCAGCGGGTTCGGAAGCAGGACCAAGCCCTCTTCCTCATTCCCCCGCCCTACTCGGTCTCCTCCTGGGAGTCTTCAGCTTCTGAAGCGAATGCCGGCCCCTGCCCAGCTCCCCATGGACTCTCTTGCCTCGGTGCAGCCTCCACTCTGACCCCGCCTCCTGTGCCATGAGTCCTGGGACAGCTGCCCCCCCTCCAGTGCTCACTTCACACAGCGGGAGCACTCCATCCTGCCCGGTGGACCTCCTTCCTCTGGTCCCCCTCCCCCGACATTGGCCAGTGGACTCCTCCATTCCGTGGAAGTTCCCCCACCTCCACGCCCGTGGATTCAGTGGACTCGTCGTTTGTGAGGAGGACTCCATGCTGTGCCTGGAGCACCTCCGGCTCCTGGGACACTCCTCAGCGACTTCCCCCTCCCTCTGCGGCGCCTCCGCCAGTGGGCTGGACTCCTCTCACCCCGAGGTCTCATTCCTGCCCGCCCAGTGCCCAGGACTGAGCACACTCCTGGGTGCCAGTTTGGTCTTCACATTTCTGCTTCCCCTGTTCCCGTGCCGTCCCCCGCCCCCAGCTCTGGCACATTCCGAAGAGACGGGAGTGACTGCAGGCCGCCCCGGGCTCCCGGGCTGGAGGGGAAGGGAGGGCTTTTAATTTATTTCTTTCTTTGAAGGTTTCCCCTTTGAGCCAGTTTTCATTTCCTCCCTGTGGCATTACCTCCCCGCCTCCCATCCCAGACCTGTGCCCACAACAGGGAGGGGCTGGGAGCAAAGGAGAGGGCGGGACTCCGTTTTTCATGTTGGTTTTTATTAATTATCTGGAAAACAGCAAGGAACCAAGAATAAAGATTGAGCGAGATCTGGCGCTAGCTGCCTTGGTTAAGTTGAAGGTCCCCACTCGGAGGGAGTCCCAGACTCGGTCCTTGGCGGCAGGTGGCCTTGTCTGCAGCGCCCCAGCTGGAGCTGCAGGATGAGTCCGGCTTCCGTGTATATGGGGCCGGCTCTGCAGGGTCCTCATGGCCGCCCCTTGAGGCCTGGGCTCAGGCTGTTGTCCTCGCAGGAGCCTGGTTAGCGACAGGAGACAGCGGCTGTGGGTCCGGGGAGACAGCGGGAAGGGAAGGGGCTGGGGGGGGGACAGAGGACTCACAGGCGCCCAGCCTCTCCTCCAGCAGCAGCACCTGGTCGCTGAGAGAGTCTATCCTGTCGCCCCGGCCCCACAGCTCTGCCACCTGCTCCGGCCGCAGGTCTTCGGGTGGCACAGGCAGCACGGCTCGAACCCAGGCCCCGGCATGCCCAGCCCACTGCAAAGGAGAGCCCGGGGGGTTGGGGTGGGCGCGCCCAGCTCCACGTGCAGCCCGGGCCCTGGCTCACCTGCTCCAGCCGCTCCAGGCGCCCACGCAGCTCCAGGATCTCTCGCCTCAGGGCGCGCTCCTCCCGCTCCTCCCGCTCCGCTTCCCGGACTGGCATGAAGGAGAGCGTGACTGCAGCCCGGTGCCCCCGCCCCCGCTATCTTCCCTCCCGCCCCCCTCACCCACTCCCATCACCCCGCCCCTGCTCACCGCCCCCATCCCCCTCCCCGCACCCTGTGCCCCCATCCCCCCTCACCCACTCCCATCCCCCCGCCCCTGCTCACCGCACCCATCCCCCTCCCCGCACCCTGTGCCCCCACTCCTCCCCCCTTCCCCGCCCCCATCCTCCCTCCCCTGCCCCATCCCCATCCCCCTTCCCCGCACCCTGTGCCCCCATCCCCCGCCCCCATTCCCCCTCACCCGCCCCCATCCCCCCCTCCCCGTACCCTGTGCCCCCACTCCTACCCCTCTCCCCGCACCCACCCCCTCCTCCCCCGCTCCCATCCCCCCTCCCCGCACCCTGTGCCCCCATCCCCCCCTCACCCGCCACGCTGAGGACGCTGGCGCTGGCCGGCGGCTCCGGGGGCCCCTCTAGGCAGGTGCGCCCGTCGGGGCCCAGCACCAGGCCGCGGGGGCAGCCGCAGGCGAAGCTGCCCGCAGTGTTTAGGCAGCGGTGCGAGCAGAGGGCAACCCCGGCCCTGCATTCATCCACGTCTAGTACGGAAAGGGGGGCAGGGCTGAGGGCCTGGGGGGGCTGGGAGGGCGGGCGCCCCGGAGGGGCTGGGAGGGGGCGGCGATCCGACTCACCCACGTGGCAGTGCCTCCCGCCCCAGCCGGGGGCGCACTCGCACCGGTCCGGCCGCACGCAGGCGCCGCCGTTCAGGCAGGGCTTAGCGCAGATGGCTGCGGGCAGAAGGGCTTTGGCTCGGCTCCCTGGCCCCCCGGCACCCCCCTCCCGCCCCGGGGCCCAGGAGGGAGCTCACCTTCCTCGCAGGTGAGCGCCCCCGGATGCCGCTTCCTCCATCCCTGGCAGCACACGGCGTGCGTCTGCCGCACCTCCCTCCGCACCTCCCGCCACGCCGCGCGGTACGTGGTCCTGGAGCACAGGGTGCGGTCTGAGCCGGCCTGCGGCTGCCTGCGGGCTGTCCTGCGGGCTGTCCTGCGGGGCCTGGGGCCCAGCTCCCGCCCTCACCTGTAGGTGCTGCAGACGCGCCTCCCGGGGCACAGGGTCAGGTAGGGCTTGTGCACGGGCTGGCTGTAGGACTCGTTGTAGCGGAGCGGGACCAGCAGCGTCTGCTTGGAGCACACCCCCGGGCTGCACCGTGCGCGGGGAGGCGGGCGCTGAGCGGGCCAGGCCCGGGAGCCGGAGTCCCAGCGCCCCCCAGGCCCCAGGCTCCAGCTGACAGCCTCACCCCCATTCCAAACTTCGCTGGTCCCTGTGCCCCCACCCAGGTCTCCTGAACCTCTCACCCCGCCCCTCGTCACCTCTCTCTGAGGGATCCACCCTTGGACCCTTCGCCTGTCACCAGGAGGAGGAGGGAGAGTCCGCTTAGGAGAGCGCACCGCTCAGCCCGGGACCCCATGCCGCTCCTGACTCCAGACTGCCGCCTGCAGGAAGGAGAGGTGAAGGCCGGCCTGCCCGCCGCTCCCAGCTCCGGCGCCCGCCCTCCCCAGCGGCCGCGGGCCCTGGAAGTGTGGGTGACAGCACGTTCATTCGTGTTCGCTTGCACCCGTCACCAGGATGGCGGCTCGGGGCGTGTACCTAACAGCACCCTTCCTTTAGCACCAGCCAGGCTCCCACCGGCCACCTCCCTCCCCTCACACTCTGCCCTCCATGACCCTCTGACCTCCAACATGCCCTCTCCCCCTAAACTTCCTCCTTCAAAACCTTAGGTACTCCCCACGAGACCCTCCCTCCTCCCACACAAACCCCACACCGTCACACACACCCCTCACCAGACAGCACCCCAACTCACACTCACTCTGAGGCCCTGAATGACCCCCACTTTCCCCATCGACATCCCTTGCCCACCTGCCTTTCCTCTCTCTGGGAGTCAGGCCCACCAGCCTCAGCAGCAGCGGCTCGACTGGTGGGCAGGCTGGGCTGCAGAGAGGAGGGGCCGGCCCACAGAGCCCTCCCATCCCTGCCCCCTCCCACCGGCTCCCTGGAGCTCCAGCTTGGTGTGCTCATGGGGTCCAAGTCTCACCACTTTCCCCACCCGGCAAAGGGCCCCGAGAAGTATCTTCCCAACTTCCTGAGGCCCCTTCTCTCTGGACCCCCCGAATCGGCAGAGGCCACTTGCTATGTAACACCTCAGTACCTGGTCCCAGCCTCCCCCTTAAGCCCAACACTGACCGGGAGACCTGGGGGGCAGGGAACGAGTGGCAGAGAACACAGGGGTCAGGTCATGGGAGAAGAGGCAAGATCAGCTGAGGAAAGAAGGGAAGTCATCACAGAGGGCAGGGGCAATCTGGGGCACAAGGGGAAAAGTGACCCCATTTCTCGATGACATTTGTCGGGGCCTGGGAGGGGGCACAGTTGAGTCAGCCGCCGCCCCCTCGGCTGGGGCAGACAGGGCCCAATTGTCTCCATCAAAATTCCTCCCTTCAGGGAAGAGGCGGCTCTTTGTCCGGCCCTCACCCCACTCTGGTCCGCAAAGGTTAGAAAGGGGCTCAAGGAATGCTCACCCTGACCCTTACCCCCTGGGCTGGCCTGGGCTGGCCAGGACATTCCACCCATGGAGCTGGGGCACAAGCCACTGGGGCCCTGGGCTCAGCCCCCAACCTCAGCCTGGGACAGGAAGAGAATTGTCCTCAGCAGGAAAGAACCCACAGAGAATCAGGAACCCACACAGAATGGGCATTGAGAGAGCGGAAACGCCAGGGGTCCCACCCCAGACCCGGCATCCGGGCACCCAGGCCTCGGCTCACCATTCCCACCCTTTTGGGGAGCCGGGTCCCCCTCACCTGGAAAGGAGCCAAGCCAGACTGAGGAAAGGGAACTTTATTTCCATAAATACAAGGTAACACCCACTGGAGGGTAGCTAACGGAGGGGCTGGGGCCTCAGAGAAAGGAGGCTCCCAGGAAGTACCCCAACACTGAACATGGGGACTGGGGGATCCCCAAACCTGAGATGGGCCTCGCAGGCCACAGATATTCCCCAACATTGACACTTCAAGAACGGAACTGCACCCAGAGGGCAGGCTGGCCCCGCTCCCATGGGCAGTCCTTCCCGGGGGAGGCAGCGTGGGGAGTTCAGCGGGAACAGAGCAACACTGTCCTGAGCAGCCTGGGAGGAGGCCCTGTGTGGGCGGGCTGGGCCCTCCTGTGCAGCCAGAGATGGAGGAGCAGCCGCAGTTCAAACCTGGTTTCTCACTTCCCAACCTCAGCCTTGGAGGATGGGAGAGCATGGAGCCACCCCCAAATGAAGACACGAGGTGGGGGAGCCCACGGTTTGTCATTCACAGAGCAGAGGGGGCCTGGGAGCCTGGCCAGTGGGGCCGTGTGCAAGTAATGACATGGCAACAGGCGCAACAGAGCCTGGCGCTGCCTCCCAAGGCCAGCTCCGGGCTCCGGGCCCCGGGCTCACCCTCAGGAGAGCCAGGGCTCGATGCAGGTCACGTAAAGGGTGTGGTTGGAGTGCCAGGCCGTGTGGGCAATCCCGGCCATGGGACACCTCACTATGGCCCCCCGGGCCCAGAGGGTCTTCAGTCCAAAAGAATCCCGAAGATAAACCTTTGCGGGGTAAGGGGGGTGGGAGAAAGACACAGGGAGACAGCGTGAGTTCCTACTGAAGCCCAGCCCCTTCCCAGGGTGAAGCCCCGAGCTCAGGACTCAGCAGTGGGGGGGCTGGAGACAGCTGGGATGGATGTGAAGAAATCCAGGGACTCACCAGTTGTTCCTCCATCTCCAAGACCGTCTCATTTGCGTCATAGAAGCCAAAGAAGCTACAAAGAGATGGGGGGCCATTATCAGGAGAGTTGGAGAAAATCAAGGGGGGATAGGATCCTTTCAGAACTCACAGCCTGTTGGGGAGACAGGCAGCAGGGAGAACACTCAAAATATTTAGTGGGACATCATTCACCCCATGAGGTGACGAACGGCATCACTTTGCTGAATTCCCAAACTGAGGGACAGTCTACAAAATAGATGGTGCATACACTTCAAAGATACCAGTGTCTGGACAAGAGGACTTGGGTAGCATTCAGGATTAAGAGAAACTAGAAAGACATGAAACCTAACACACGATCCTGGGTTTGATCTTGCACCGGAATTTGTTTTCCCCTAAAAGGACAGCCCAGCCGGCGTGGCTCAGTGGTTTGAGTGTCGACCTATGATCCAGGAGATCACTGTTCAATTTCCGATCAGGACACGTGCTCAAGCCTGGGAGGACCCAGCTCAACCCACAATGTGGGGCATGCAAGAGGCAGCTGCTCAATGATTCTTGCTTCATCATTGATGTTTCTATCTCTCCCTCTCCCTTCATCTCTGAAACCAATAAAAATATATTTTTCAAAAAAGACAATTAGAGCCAGCCCTAAGTAGCTCAGTGGTTGAGCATCAATTCATGAACCAAGAGGTCACCAGCTCAATCCCCAGTAGGGGGAGTGCAAGAGGCAGCCAGGGGATGTTTCTCTCTCCCTCTCCCTTTCTCTAAAGTATCAATAGGAACATTTTTTTAATATATTTTATTGATTTTTCACAAAGAAGAAGAGAGAGAGAGTTAGAAACATCAATGAGAGAGAATCATCAATCAGCTGCCTCTTGCACACCCCCTACTGGGGATGTGCCCGCAACCAAGGTACATGCCCTTGCCCGGAATCGAACCTGGGACTTTTCAGTCCGCAGGCCGACGCTCTATCCACTGAGCCAAACCGGTCCCAGCAATAGAAACATTTTTTAAATATATATATTTTATTGATTTTTTTACAGAGAGGAAAAGAGAGGGATAGAGTTAGAAACATCGATGAGAGAGAAATATTGATCAGCTGCCTCCTGCATGCCCCCTAGTTGGGTATGTGTCCGCTACCAACGTACATGCCCTTGACCGGAATCAAACCTGGAACCCTTCAGTCCATAGGCTGATGCTCTATCCATTGAGCCAAACAGGCTAGAAACATTTTTTAAAAGATAATTAGAAAAATTTAAATAAGGTCTATAGGGTACCATATCAATGTTAATTTCCTGATTTTGACAATTGTATTGCAGAGATATTAAAAAATGCCCTGTATATAGGAAATATGCACTGACATACTCAAGTTTTACAGATAATGAGATATTATGTCTTCAACCTACTAACGGCTCACACACACCCAGCAGGGGGCGTGTGGGAGGCAGTGACCAATGATTTCATCACTGATGCATCTGCCTCTCTCCCTTTCCTTTCCTCTCTGAAATATATGTTTATAAACACTAGGTGATTGCTTTATGCTACTTTGGTAACTTCTTAAGTAGGAGATTGTTTCAAAATAAAAAGATTGAGCCTTAGTTGGCTTGCCTCAGTGGATAGAACATCTGCCTGCGGACTGAAATGTCCTGGGTTCAATTCTGATTAAGGGCATATACCCAGGTTGGGAGCTCAATCCTCAGTAGGGGGTGTGCAGGCGGCAGCTAATCAATGATTCTCTCTCATCATTGATGTTTCTATCTCTCCCTCTCCCTTCCTCTCTGAAATCAATAAAAATATATATTTTAAAAAATTGTTTAAAGGTCTGAACATGTTTTTTCATTAAGAATATATAACTTGCCGAAGCCGGTTTGGCTCAGTGGATAGAGTGCCGGCCTGCAGACTGGGAGGTCCCAGGTTCAATTTTGGTCAGGGGCATGTACCTTGGTTGCGGGCACATCCCCAGTGGGGGGTGTGCAAAAGGCAGCTGATCGATGTTTCTCTCTCATCAATGTTTCTAGCTCGCTCTCTCTCCCTTCCTCTGTAAAAAAATCAATAAAATATATTTTAAAAAATAAACTGCCATTTAAGAAGAAGAAGAAGAAAAAAAAGAATATATAACTGGCCCTGACTGGTTTGGCTCAGTGGGTAGAGCGTCGGCCTGTGAACTCAAGGGTCCTGGGTTGCCAGCACATCCCCAGTAGGGAGATTGCAGGAGGCAGCTGATAGATGTTTCTCTCTCATTGATGTTTCTATCTCTCTATCCCTCTATCCCTCTCCCTTCCTCTCTGTAATCAATAAAGTCAATAAAATATATTTTTAAAAAAGGATATATAACTGGCACGAGATTCGAGTGGATGCTGGCAGTGAATAACTGAATGCTAATAAGAGTTAAGTCCAACAGGCCACAGGAGCAAAGACAAAAGCCACTGCCTTAGCATACAGCAGGGTGGGGAACCTTTTTTCTGCCAAGGGCCATTAGGATTTATAACGTGCTTCGATGGCCATACCAAATTACTGACTTAAACATCAGCCTGCTGTGTTTGGTCAAACATTTCATTACCCACCCCTAATGCCTTGGCAAGGCCAGACCAAACGATTTCCGGGGCCTTATCGGGCCTGCCCATTTCAGAGCGCCTGGCTTAGAGCATCAATGAAGGCTTCCCGGCGAGGGCCCTGGACCAGGGAGGGCCGCTGCAGGCCAATGGGATGCACGAGCAGGGGTGCGGAGGGGAGGCGGAGGGGAGGCGCAGCGGGTGCAGGAGCTGGGCTGAGGCCTGGAGGCCTGGGGAGAAGCTGGGTGTGACCCGCTGGGAGAGCAGCAGGGCACATAGACCTGGACCTGCTTTCCAGCTCTGCCACACTCCCCACTGTTGCGGCTGGGCATGCTCCTTCCCCGTGTCCTAGGGGACCAACACCCCCTTGGCAGCGAGGAAGGAAAGCGTGTGGCTAACAGAGAGAGAGCCTGACTCACCCCTTACTAACGCTATGAACGGAAGCAAGGAATTCCATCTCTTTGCACTCAAGTCTCCTGAAAGGTCGTTTTGAGGATCAAATGAGCTTTATTTAGAGGTGCTATATAACTGCGAGCTATTATGAAGTGTAAATAAATCCCATCTCTTACTATTATTATAAGGGATGCTTCTCCTTCACTCAAAACCCTCCAATGTCTTCCCATTTTCCTCAGAATATACCATCAAGGGTCGTGGTTGCCGGGGCTGGGCGGCTGGGCTGAGGAGCTCGTGTGAATGGATATGGAATTTCAGTTTGGGAAGAAAACAGTCCTGGAGATGGATGGTGACGGTCACACAGTATGTGAGTGTACTTCATGCCACTGAGCTGTGTGTTTACAAATGGCCCTGGCTGTGTGACTGCTGGTTGGAGTGTCCTCAGGTTCAATTCCAGTCAGGGTACATACCCAGATTTTGGATTCGAAACCTGGTCGGTGCACATATAGAGGCAACGGATCTCTCTCTCTCTCTCTCTCTCTTGGCAACAGATTGATGTTTCACCCACTCTTTCTCTCTCTCTCTCTCTGTAAAAGTAAATACATTTTAAAAATGGCAAGTTTTGCCGAAACCGGTTTGGCTCAGTGGTAGAGCGTCGGTCTGCGGACTGAGGGGTCCCGGGTTCGATTCCAGTCAAGGGCATGTCTCCAGTAGGGGGTGTGCAAGAGGCAGCTGGTCGATGTCTCTCTCTCATCGACGTTTCTAGCTCTCTATATCTCTCTCTTCCTCTCTGTAAAAAATCAATAAAATATATTTTAAAAAATAAATAAATTTTTAAAAAATGGCAAGTTTTATTTTGTGTATAATTTTTTAAAAAGTCAAGGGTCTTACTTTGCCCTACAAAGGCTCAACATAATGGCTCTCTGCTACCTCTTTCAACCTCCTCTCCCACTCTCTCCCCAGCTCCCTTGCTCACGGGCCCCAGGGTCCATGCAGGTGCGGTCCCTGTCCCTGGCCTACTCCCCCACACTGCTCCCAGCCCCGCCTGACTTCCTTCCGCCTCAGCCTCAGCCTCAGTGCAAAGGGCAACTTTCCCAGGGGCTGCTCTGGTCACCCCTAAAGCAGGCTCTGTCCTGACAGCCTTCCCCTGCCTCCCTTCACTCCCATTTGACAGACAGACAGACAGACATCGTTATCGGTCTCCCCTCTGGAAGGAAAGCTGCACCACAGAGACCTCACTGCCGGCTGACTCCTGGGCCCAGAGCGGCTCTGAGGGACTGTGAGGGCCGTGACCGCTCAGCTCACTCAGGAGCTCCGGATGGCGGCTCGCACGGGGGCCACGGAGACTGGCTTTCCCAGAGCGACAGGCGGGAGGGGTGAGGAGGAGGCGATCAACAGCGGACCAGGAAAGGAAAGAGGTGATAGGAAGTGGATTAAATGGCATGGAGAGTCTACACACATTGTGCCAACATCAAGTTCCTGGTTTTTGACGCTGTGCTGCCGTTACATAAGATGCAGCCACTGGGGGAACTGGGTGAAGGTACACAGGGCCTCTCTACACCATCTCTGCAATTTCCCAAGAATCTACAACTATTTCAACGTTAGAAGTTTTTTATAAAACTAGGGGAGGCAGGGACGGAGAGGAAATAGCATCAGCAGGATGAGGTGACTGGTAGACACAAGGGGCTGGGGGAGGACTCCCAGGGGTGGATCTCGGTGGGCAGGCGGTCACTGAGCGTGGGACCAGCTTTAGGGAGCGGCGAAGGTTGGGGGGGATTAGGGTGTCCTTAGTGAATCCCGAGGCCACGCAGCCGTTACCTGGACTGCCAAGGGGTGATGACGCCATCGTCGGGGCCTCCGACCAGCACCATTCGGCCCACACGAAGGAAGTTCTTCCGCCAGGCTGCGGGGAGAAGAGCCGTCAGTGCCGGCCAGCCGGCGGGAGAGGGCACAGCGGGCAGAAAGGCAGAAGGCGGCACCGAGTGGAAGCCTGGGGCCTCACCAGTGGCATTGGGATGGTCTCTCTCCCCGTTGATCAGGGCCAGGAAGCTGCTGGCATTGAGGTACAGGTCATCGTGGTGGGGATCTGCGTACAAATGGCATTTAGAAAGACGGTCAGGGAGCAGGGGAGCAGGCAGGCGCGGACACTGGGAGAGCAACCAGGAGGCTTCAGGAACAGACAGTGAACAGGAATGCAACGCAGCAGCAGTAATGACTGTGAACATGACAGCAAACCCCTTCACCCGGCTCTGCGAGCCAGAAACTGTCCAAAGCGTTTTACACTCATTAACTTGTTTAATGCTTACAACCCCCTATGAGGTAGGTACTAATTTATTCTTTTACAGAGGAGGACGCTGAGTTGCCGGAAGGTTGAGGAACGCCCAAGTGGCCGGGCAGGTTCAGACTGCAAACGCAGTGGCCTGGACCCAGCAGCCATGGTCTTGCAAAGCACCGGAGGCTTCTGCCCAGGCCCACTGCTTGTGCTGGAAAGGAAGCCGCATTGAACAGACACACGGCTGCTCGCACACCGCGTGCCAGAGAGGAGAGTGGCGACAGGGACTGTACGGCCTACAAAACGAAAAGCATTTGCTCTCTGCGCTTTAAAGAAAAGGCGTGCTGACCTCTGCACCACACGGCGCGCTCTGAGACCCTGGCTGATACACATAAAGCATGCTGTTTCCCATGAGTATGAGTTATCACTATTGTCATCGCTACTGGCTGTGGCAGAGGCCCTAGCCTCCAGGGTACCCGCATGGAGGTCCGGTTAGCACCCCTACTCACCATGCCAGTAGTTGCATATGGAGAACTCCTGCCCCCAGGGGCTGTAGCAGATCCGGTAGAGGTTGGACCTCATGGAGGTAGGGAACAGCCACTTCAGGTAGTCCGTGTCTGGCGGGAGAGCAGCAGCGCCAAGTAATCCAAACCCCTGTGCCCCAGCTCCGGGCCCCCATGCAGCCCACAGCCCCACTCACCTCCGTACTGCCCCATCTGCGGGGAGGACAGCGAGATGAAGGAGTCCACGTTGTGGTCATCCATGACGGACAGCAGTGCCCGGCACACCAGGCCGCCTGTGGGCAGGCCACACATGGGCAGGGGTTCGGGACGGCCAGGCCAGCAGTCTCCACGCTGCCTCCCCCACCCCAACGCACACGAGGAAGGCCAGGCCCCGACAGTGCAGGGCCAAGAGCCAGACTCCGATTCGGGGCCTTCTGACGCTAACTCTGGGGTGTTTTTGCCGCCCCCCCCCCCACTACCACTTAGGCCTGCTAACCGGGGGTACTGGGGACAGGAGGAGGTAGCACTGTGTCCCCGGAGGACACACAGAGGTGAGACCAGGGGCTGAGGGAAGTCAGAAAAGGGGGGCTCGGGCACCAGGGCCCTGCTGGACAGTGTGGTTCAGAAAAGGGGACCTAGGAAGTGCCCCTCAGATAAGATCAAGCTTCAGAGAGTGCTTAGGGTGGGGGCACCTACCCTGTGAGTAGCAGATGAGATGCACCCCTTGAGGGGCCTTTGCCATGATGGGGGCCACAGCCTCTCGGAACCCTTGCACCTGTTCCCACAGGGGCCGCAAGCTCTCTCTCCCATCGAAGAGATCGAGCACGGTCACCTCGGTCCCGGGGTGCGTCTGTGGGAAGGGGCGATGCTGCAACTGGGGGTGAACTGCGAAGCCCTCCACTCCACCCGGCTGCGCCAACGCCTGCCGAGCCCTGCTAGAGCCGGGGTCCCCCCACCCCACCCCCAGGGGCCGGGCAGCCGGAGGGGCGGCTTTCAGGCCCGCCCGCTTCCGCCCCAGCCTCCGCGGCGCCCCGCAGACCTGGTTGATGTAGCCCAGCAGGTGGCGGAAGCTGTAGGAGCTGTCAAACAGCCCGTGCACCACGATGACCGGCTTGTAGGGCGCGCGCGGCGGCGCGGGGGCCGCGGGCAGCAGCAGCAGCAGCGGCAGGAGGGGCACGGCGAGCAGGAGCCCCGCGGGCGGCCGCGGCCCCGCCATCTCCCACTGAGCGGGACGGCTCCTGAGCCCGCAGCCGGCCCTCGGCGGACCACGCGGCCAGCCGCTCCCGGCCCCGAACGGCAACTTCAGCTCACCGTCCTCCCCCGCACCCGGCCGTCCTCCCGCACCCCCGCCGCGCAGGCGCAGCGCCGCCCGCGAGCCCCGCCCCCGCCGGTGCCCGGGGCCCGGGGACGTCCCCGCCGCGCGGCCCCCGCCCCGCCCCGCCCCGCCGCTTCGCAGGCGGGACCCGAGCGGCGGCGGGTCCCCGGAGCCGCACCCGCCCGCTCCGGGCCGCCCGCCGCTCACTCCTCCCGGGGCTGGGGCGCGGGGGGCGGGGGGGCGCCCGGAGTGACGGGGGGGGGGGGCGGGGAGGCTGCTGGGGTCGCGCCCAGCCGTCATTTCCGGGGCTTTCCCTGGCAACCGTGCCAGCGTCCCCGGCAACGCAGGCGGCCCGGGAGGGGCCGTGGAACTTTCCATCGCGCGCTGGGAGCGGGGGAGGCCCGGGCGGGCGGCCCGCTGCCGGCGGGGAGAGCCGCAGCCGCCCCGCGACTGGAGGCCTGCGCCCCGGCGCCGCCCGGGTCCGGCCCCCGGGAGCCCGCGTCCCCCCGGGAGCGGCGGCCCCCCCCCCCCGCCGCCGCCTGCCGAGGCTGCAGCCCGCCCGCCGCCCGCCGCCCGCCGCCCGCTCTTGACGGTGAAGTGCGTGTAGTCTGCCTTGTCTCCCGCCGCGGAGAGTCCTCCTGGGCCCTCGAGCGGAGAGCGGAGAGGCTGGCCCGGTTTCTCCGGCCCTGCTCCGCGGTCCCATGGAGGATCCACGCCCAAGGGCTCTGACTCACGCCTGCTAGCGCGGTTTCCACCAGACCCTCAACCTGAGCGACCCCCACAGTCTGCCCTTAGCTGGGGCTCCTGGACGGGACCCCCACAGTCTGCCCTTAGCTGGGGTTCCTGGGCGGGACCCCCACAGTCTGCCCTTAGCTGGGGCTCCTGGACGGGACCCCCACAGTCTACCCTTAGCTGGGGTTCCTGGGCGGGACCCCCGCAGTCTGCCCTTAGCTGGGGCTCCTGGAGGGACCCCCACAGTCTGCCCTTAGCTGGGGCTCCTGGCGGGACCCCCACAGTCTGCCCTTAGCTGGGGCTCCTGGGGCGCTCCCCACCCAGACCCCCCCCCCACCAGGCCAGACCAAGCCCCAGCCATCCCTATCTTTCCATCTGTGGCGCTTACCCAACACCCATGAAGGCGTTAATGAAAAAACGAACTCGCTATGGCCAAGCTGCTAAGCTGCTCATGGTAAGCAGGTGGAGGAATGAAGAAGTGATTCTATTCTTGCTCTAACTTAAACTTTGGAACTCTCCCGTCCTGCACCAATGCCTGCATGTACCTCAGACCTCCGGACAACTGAAAACCACTGCCGTCCGGGCCCCTGGCATCCAGTGTGAGGAAAGGGTCACCCAGAGCAGGTGGCAAACTCATCCGTCCACAGAACCAAATACAACAGCACGACGACTGAGATTTCTTCGGAGAGCCACGTGTTTTAAACGTAAACTTCTCCTAACACCACTTCTTCAACACAGACTCGCCCAGGCCGTGGCATTTTGTGGAAGAGCCACACTCAAGGGGCCAAAGAGCCACATGTGGCTCGCGAGCCTCGGTTTGCTGACAGCAGGCCTAGAGGATTACCCATCCAAAGGCTGAGAATGAACTGATTCTTCTGAAAGATGCACCCTATGAGCTTTTCTTTCTTCTCAGGAACACTCCAAGTATTGCCCAACTGTGTTACCAGGTTGCCAACCCTAAGATCCTTGGATAAATCGTTGCCATTTATTTCTGTCAAAGCCTCCAGACACTTCTGAGTTTCCTGGACAAAAGGAGCCCCGTTAGGGCTTTACTTGGCATTTGAAGGTGTTTCCCTTCAGAAAGGAACCCCCCGGTTGTCTGAACCCCGCCCCGTCGCAGGGTCTTTGTCGGTCTGAGGCAGTTCCCAGTCACCAGCGTGAGCCCTGAGCTGTGCAGAATGGGGGTGAGGTGGGGTCACACAAACGCCATAGAAACCGGAACGAGGAGCCGGCTTTGTGGCCTGTTCAGACATGAGGGGGGAGGACACGCCCAGGAGGGGGTCTGTGTCTTGGCGGGGGAGGGGGCGTTAGGAAATGGATCTGAATGCTGGCAGACCCAGGATCTCTAAGAAGCCCCTTCGCAAAGGGAGGAAAGGGGGTCGAGTCCATCTTCCCAAACCAGCGGCCAGAAATGAGCAGCCCCTTCACTGCTCCCGCCCAGAGTGCTTCAGCTCCTTGGCCGGGGAGGGAGTATCAGTGCACCCCCCAAGCTCCCCTCCGTCCGGCCCCCTCCCCATGGGGAGGAGGGTTCTCCCAACTGTTACAGCCCGGGCCTCCCACTGGACTTCCCGTTCCCCAGGCCTGGGTGGAGGGTGGAGGCTATAACCCTGGGAACGTTCCAGGCCATCACAGGCCTCAACTCTGCATACACCTTCCTCAGGCACAGCTCTGAGGGGCTAGGCGCAAGGGTTTGAGAGAAGATTCTGGGACCTGGGCGGGGGGGGGGCTCTGGGGAAGGAGAGGCCGCACTGGAGTGAGCCAGATCTGCAGGAGCTGGTATCAGTCTGTGGAGCACCCACTCAATTCCTCCCACAGCTGATCACTTCAGCCCTCTCAGAGGGGCAGGCTCCTGAGCGTTCTCTCTCCCTCCTGCCTTTCCTTAGTCCCACCCACTTTGCCTGGTCTTGCTTGCCTCCTTGTTTCCATGACAACTCCAAGGGAGCCCAAACTGGGGGCTTGAATGCTGGGGTGAGAGGAGGAGAGACGAGTGGGGGGTACATCTGAAGAGCTCCCCCAACCCCGCCTCGGTCCCTTTAAGCTCTCCCCCCTCCCAGTTCTCCCCCTGCCCCCCCTCCAGCACCACCCTCCGAGGCTGTCTTCTCTCCATCTCTGGCGCTGCCGGCTGCGCCATCCCTGCACCCCGGCTCCCGCTCCACTCGGAGACCCCCGACTCCAGCCACAGAGACCCTGACCCAGCGAGACAGAGACTGCAAGCATGTCATCAGAAAAGTCAGGTGAGAATCCACAGCAAGACCTCCCACTCCCTGCACGGTCTCCTGCCCCGTCCCCTCCCCCTCCCCTCTGCTCCAACCCCCTCCCTGCCTCCTCCGAGCAGGTTCTATCCAGTTCAGCCGCCCCTAAACCCACTCCTCGTCCTTGGCTTCCTTCCCCCTCCCATTCCAGCACGGTCCCTGCCAGGGGGGCAGCAGGGTAGGCTGCAGCAGGAGGGAGGCGGAGAGGGCAGCCTCAGCCAGGTGCTGCAGGGAGTGACAGATGGCCCGGCCGGCGCGGGGACATCATGGAGACATGGCGGGGGGCGGCATGGCGGGGGGCGGCACGGTGCTGGGGTGAAGTCCAGCAGCCCCTCCGGTTCAGCCCTGAAGAAGCGCTGAGATTCCGGAGGCTGGGCGCCCCTCCCCCTATGGGATGGCGGGTGGGCCTGTCAGCCCGCGTGGCTCGCCCGGTGTTGGACGGACACATGTTAAAGCATGTTGCATGTCCACATGACATGTGCACACGCAGGACTGGCTGAGAGGGGCAGGCCCCGGCGGCCCGGCCCCGCAGCCGCTGTGGACGCGGCTGCGCCGCGCAGTGAGGAGCGGAGAGTTGTGGCCTCAAAACTAGACAGAGAAACAGAAGTGGGGGGGCCAGTGGCCTAGATACAAGCCCTCTCCTGCCCCAAAGTGAGATGCTTCTCACCTTCTCCTGTGTCTCTCCCACTGCCCTCCTCCATCCATCCCGGACCCTCTGTCTCTCAACCTCCCCATCTCGCTCTCACCGCCCCCGGACCCCGGACCCCTGGATTCCTGACCCCCGGACCCTGGACCCTGGACCCCGGACCCTGGACCCCGGACTCCGGACCCTGGACCCCGGACTCCGGACCCCTGAAACCCTGGACCCCCTGACCCTGGGCCCTCGCCTCGGCTCGCCCCCCAGGCCTCCAGGACTCCGTCCCGCACACCTCGCCGCCGCCCTACAACGCCCCGCAGCCGCCCGCCGAGCCCCCCGCGGCCCCGCCGGCGGCCCCGGCGCACCACCACCACCACCACCACTACCACCAGTCGGGCACCGCCACCCTCCCGCGCCTGGGGGCCGGCGGCCTGGCGGCGTCCGGGGCCTCGGCGGCGCGCGGGCCCTCGTTCTCCGCCACCCTGCCGCGGCCCCCGCACCACGCGCCGCCCGGCCCGGCCCCCGGGGCGCCCCCGCCCGGCTGCGCCACCTTGCCCCGCATGCCGCCCGACCCCTACCTGCAGGAGACCCGCTTCGAGGGCCCGCTGCCCCCGCCGCCGCCCGCCGCCGCCGCCCCGCCGCCGCCCGCGCCCCCGCACGCCGCCCAGGCCCCCGGCTTCGTGGTGCCCACGCACCCCGGGGCGGTGGGCACGCTGCCGCTGGGGGGCTACGTGGCCCCCGGGTACCCCCTGCAGCTGCAGCCCTGCACCGCCTACGTGCCGGTCTACCCCGTGGGCGCGGTGAGTGCGGGCAGGGGGGGGGAGACCCGGGCCAGGGGACCCGGCGGCCTGGGGAAGGCCTAGGAGAAGGGTTCTGGGAGTCAGTGAGGTCAGAGGCCACGGCCTGGGAGGATGCGGGGCGGGAACCTGGGGCTGAGGAGTGGGGCGGCCAGGTAGGCTTCTGGAGAGAAGAAACAAGGTTTGAAGCGAGGCGGGGCAGCGCCGGGGGGCGGGTGGAGAACCCCGAGGATGTGGGGTTACCCCAGGAGGTGGGTTAGTGGCAGCACAGGGGCCTAGGCGGGCTGTAGTCTGTTCTGGGGCAACGTGCAGACTGCGCTTCAAACGCGCTCCCCCAGAGCGGGACGGGGGGGGCGGGGACCGGAGCGGGACGGGGGGACCCGAGCGGGTCCGCGTGACGCCCCCCCCCCCTTCCACAGCCCTACGCCGGGGGAACCGGGGGCGCGGGAGTGGCCTCCACGCTGCCCACGCCGCCGCAGGGCCCGGGGCTGGCCCTGCTGGAGCCCAGGCGCCCGCCGCACGACTACATGCCCATCGCCGTGCTGACCACCATCTGCTGCTTCTGGCCCACCGGCATCATCGCCATCTTCAAGGCGGTGCAGGTGCGTGCGGGCGCCGGAGCGGGGCTCCCGGGCTCCTCATTCCCGGCGCCCCTCAGAGGGGGGCTGGGGCGGCGGGGGTAGGGCTGGGGGGCTGCGGGGCCGCTCCTGACCCGCCTCCCGCCCCCCCCCCCCGCAGGTGCGCACGGCGCTGGCGCGCGGAGACATGGTGTCGGCCGAGATCGCGTCGCGCGAGGCGCGCAACTTCTCCTTCATCTCGCTGGCGGTGGGCATCGCGGCCATGGTGCTCTGCACCATCCTCACCGTGGTCATCATCATCGCCGCGCAGCACCACGAGAACTACTGGGACCCGTGAGGGCGTCGGCCCGCCGCCCTGCGCCCGCCGCGGCCCCGGGCGCCCCGCACACCCGCCCCGGGGCTGCCGGCCTGCGGTGCGCCCTGCACTGGGCCCCCGCCGAGGCCCTCGCGGGGCGGGCGCGCTCCGAACCTCGTTCCTCAGGAACCTCGCCGGAGCCCACACTCGCAGGGATACGGCTTCCCGGGCCCCAGCCCCACACCGGCCCAGGCGTCCCGGCTCCCGCCCCACCAAGCAGCCCCGGGAAGCTGCCGAGCGCCCTTGCGGAGCCGGACCGAGTCCGCAAACCCGCCTCCGCCAGAGGCCCCGCCCGGCCCCAAGACCCGCTCCAGGTGGCAGGCTCCGCCTTCTCTCCCTCGGGGTGCTCGGCGGCGGTGGGTTTGGGGTGCCAGGCCTCGCCCAGACCCACGGACTCCGGTTCTCCGGTTGAGGACCCGCCAAGGTGTAGCCACGGCCACGCGCGCTCCCGTTTCTCGTCTCCCACACCGCGTGCCCACCGCGGGTCTGGCCAACCCCAGAACCTCTGTTTTGTTTTGTTTGTTTCTTGGGGTGAAGCTCGGGGGCGCCCAGTCTAGGGCCTTCGCGCTGGAGGGAGATCTGGGCGGGTCCCTGTAAATACTCCCGGGGCGCCGGGGAGGGAGCCGGGCTGGGCCGCCTGTGCGGGAGCGCCGCTCGCTCCGCAGCCCCGCCTGTGCCCATGTGTGCGTGTGCGTGTGAATTTCCGAAAGCCGACATTAAAGAGGCTAATGGACGTACTCCCCGAATCCGGTGGTGCAGCCTAGCAAAGACCCTGTCTGTGGGTCCCCCCTTTCATCTCTTCCCACTTCCCCATGGGGTGTGGTGGAGGAAGGAGAGCGACAGGTCTCTCTCTCTCTCTCTCTCTCTCACACACACACACACACACACACACACACGCACGCACGCACCGGGGAGGGTCCCTGGGATCCTGCCAGGAAAGATCTTGGGGTCCATTTTCCGGAGGATTTCTTTCCCCAGCTCATCTTTTCCCCTCGCTCCCCCGCTGGGCTTCAGGCCCCGGAGCGGGAGGAGGTACAGGGAGACCACGGGGTCTCTCCCCAGAACCCCAGAGAGGCAGGCGGGAAGGAGAGGGCAGACCATTCTGAAGAAGTCGGTGGGGGGCAGGGTGGCGGGCGGAGAGGGGGCAGACTGTTTGAATCGGAGCCCTGAGTGGTGTGCTGTGCCAGTGCAGGGAAGGCATGGGGAAAGGGCTGCGGAAACCTGTCTCAGGCCGTTCCAGCGGCTCTCAATGCGGAAGGCCCAGGCCCGCGGCTCACAAACAGCAGAGTGTATTGCTCAGGGTCCCGGAGGCTGAAGTCAGATCAGAGCGCCCAGGAGAGGTGAGGGCGCTCTGTGACCTGCAGACTCCCCATTGCACGCTCAAGTGGCAGAAGGGGCGAGGGTGCCCATTCACCAAGGCTCCACCCTCAGGGCCTAGTCTCCCCCAGAGGCCCCTCTCTGCACATTAGGGTTTTAGCATGAAGTTTGCACGGAACATATTCCGGATACAGCAGGGCCCTGGGAAGAGGGGAGGAGCCTCACACCCAGGTGGGCTCTGGTCCTGGCCTACCCTGAGGCCAGCCAGGGGCCTCTTGGGGAGGAGGGAGGGGCACAAGCCGTGGGTGTGGCCTCTCCAGCTGGAAACGGCAGGACACGATCCTCCCTGACTCCTGCCCCCATACAGCATGCAGATACCACGCGCAGATACCACGCGGGGTGCGGGTGAGACATTTGCCCAGACAGCAGGTGAGAACGCTGACCTCATGCGATTCACCCGGAAGGAAAGCCATGCGCCAGGATAAGAGGTGTGTGGGGAGGGAGTGGAAATCACTGGGAACATTGTTTTAGACATTTCAGGTTGAATGTGCCTTCCTCGTCAAACATCTTTTTTTTAAAAAAATTGTAATTGATTATTTTAGAGAGAGGGGAAGGGAGAGGGAGAGAAACATTGATGTTAGAGAGAAGCATCGATTGGTTGTGTCCTGCAAGCGAACCGGCAGCCTGGGTACCTGCCCTGGCCAGGGGTCTAGCCGATGACCCTTCGGCGCACTGCACGGGTGGACTCTCAGCCAGCTGAGCCCTCTGGCCAGGCCTCACCAAACTTCTTGAAAAAAGAATTCACATTTGCAACCCCCACTTCCTTACCACTTACTCATTTTTACCCCTTGCTGCCTGAAAACGGGAACATTGTTGTCTCTGTCTTTCCTCCTCACTCACTGTTCTTAACCCTTTCAAATCTGCTCCCACTCCCTACGCTACGGAAACTGCTCTCTCAAATAGTACTCACGACCAGAAATTACCAGGAGCCAAGATCGGTGGCGTTTTCCGGCATCCTCCCACCTTGGATTCCTCACTCAACCAGGCAGGGTTCAGGGACAGTCATCTCTCCCCCTTTACCTCCATACACACCTCCAATCATCTTCCTCCCACTATTTTTCCTCCCTTCCCCTAAGATCCTGCTCTGCATTTTTTTTCCTCCTTATTTGGGTCCTCCCCTTGAAAAATCTCATCCACTCCAAACTCACACATCATTTTCTTTTCTTTTTTTCCAAATTATAAGAGAAAGTTTATTTAGAAAGTCAGGTCGTGGAAGAAATGGGCTCAGAGGGGAAGGGAAAGGTGTGGGTGTGCTGCCCAGAGGAAGAGCTGCCAGAAATAATTCCTAATGCTTCTCGGCTATAGACTGAATGTTTGTGTCCCCCCAAATTCACGCTGAAACTGGATCCCAGTGTGCTGGTGGGGCCTTTGGGGGTGCTTAGGTCAGGAGGACGGACTGTTATGAAGGGGGTGAGTACAAGAAACTACAGAGAGCTCCCTTGCCCCTCACACCAAGTAAGGGCAAAGTTGGAAGCCAGCTGTATCTGAACCAGAAGTGTCTCAGCAGACACTGGATCTGGGCGCCTTGATCGTAGACTCTCCAGCCTCCAAAACTGAGAGAAATAAATGTCTGTTGTTTATAAGCCATCTGGCTGTGGCCTTTTGTTACAGCAGCTGGAGTTGGTTAAGACATTATCCAACCTCTATGTTTATGGGCACACACTCTCCCGTGGCCCGTGGAGCCTCCACAGGGACCATGCTGCCGGTCCTCGAAACCCAGCCTGTTCCAAACCAAATAGACAGAATGCCCCTGAGCCTGCTTCCCTGTCACTTCCCCTATTACTGCCACCATCTTCCCAGCCCCCTATCTGAAAACGTGATGCTATTAGAGGACAGCTCCCTGAGTCAGATGGGGAGGGCTGTCCCCTCCTCGGGTCTTGTCAGTATCATAAGATTTCAGATGAGCAATAGCAGCATTATAGCAAAGCAAGTGGATTTATTAAAAATACACTCAGCATAAGTGGGCACCCAGCTAGTCTGACTGCCCAGCCTGGTGGAAATTTAAGGGTTTTATACTTTTCTGTCTACAGGTTTAAAGCTTCCTCTGCAGATATCTCAGGCAACAGACTAGATTTTAAAGTCCTCCTTTTCCTTTGCTGTGGCTTTTTCTAGAATTTATGATGACATCTGGCAATTTTATCTGGGCAAGTGGACTGCTGACTTCTTTGTTCATTGGGTGAGATAAAACTCTCCCTCTTTCCCCCTACCCCCTTTACTATATTCTCTGCTTAGTGGGGAGAGATATAAACCATTTGCTCTCAAGTGTCCTGGGTTAGGGAAAATAAGGTCGTGACTCACAAGTTAGCTGCAAACTGCCCAAACTGGTTGGCTTTGTTTCATTTTCTTGTCTCAGTTTTTTCTTCCACTTGCCCAGGAATTGTCCTGGCTCCTTACCATGCTGCCGCATTCCCTGCTCAGGGACTCCCATTGCTAAAGTCTTTTAGGGCCATAGTCCCTGGCTGCGTAGGGTGCGGCAGTCTCTCACTGCCTGAGCTAAGGGAGGCCAGGGAATGGGATCTGAGACTGGAACACAGAGGCCATTGGCTGATTCTTCACAAGGGGAGGTGGGCTGGAATTCTTTCTTTTTCTTTCTTTTTTTATAGAGAGGAAGGGAGAGAGAGAGTTAGAAACATCGATGAGAGAGAAACATCAATCAGCTGCCTCCTGCACACCCCCCACTGAGGATGTGCCCGCAACCAAGGTACATGCCCTTGACCGGAATCGAAACCGGGACCTTTCATTCCACTGGCCGACGCTCCATCAACTGAGCCAAACCGGTTTCAGCTGGGCTGGAATTCTTGAGGTGTCATCATCTTCACATGAAATTGCTGTTTTCTGAAAGTGACAAACTTGACAAGAAGGTTAGTGGAGGGAAGTCAATTAGATTAAAGCCTAGTCATGGCATTTCTTATCTGTAACAGGCTTTTGTTTCTTGAAGAGGAGCTTTTTTCTTTTTTTTTTTTTAATATATTTTATTGATTTTGTACAGAGAGAGAGAAAGCCAGAAACATCGATGAGAGAGAGTCATCGATCAGCTGCCTCTTGCACACCCCCTACTGGGGATATGCCCGCAACCAAGGTACATGCCCTCGACCGGAATCAAACCCGGGACCCTTAAGTCCCCAAGCCGATGCTCTATCCATTGAGCCAAGCTGGTCCCGGCTTGAAGAGGAGCTTGAGGTTCACAAGAGGAGGTCTCAGGTTGAGGCTCCTATGGGGACTCACAGGAAATAGATTACACGAGATAAGTGGGCTGCACTGGGTATCCCTGGGAGTTTCCCTATAGCTGGGGTGCTTACTAGGGCTGATGTGCCCTTCCATCTGGGATACAGTTGGGACTCAGGGCAGTTGTTTCCTCCTGCCTCCCCCTGACCCTCTGCTTTAGCTTGTTGGTAGTCTTTATCGGGGGCAGGTAGAATTTTGTTTCCATACACCTGAAATGCTTTCTGAACTGTCTTAGATTAATGGTGTAAGATAACAGAATATACATAATTTCTTTGTAATTGGACAATCAATGGGTCTGTGCTGTCTGTAACTACTTGAGCCAATTCAGCAGAGACAGGGTTGAATCATACATGAGTGTTTATTCCAATACTGCCAGCAGC